CGGATAGGGGGCTAAACTAGGTGCCTGGGACTCACGAGTAAAGTGATTGGAGGAAGTTGCAGGAGATGCGGTAGCTGCCGCTCGTGAGTCCCAGCCATCTAGTTTAGTCCCCATCCGCGCCGCGCGTAGCAGTGCTGGGGATGCGGTTGGCAGTGAGGCACACTCGCAGAAGCAGGTCCGCAAGTAACATATCACTGAGACCCTGTTAGAGCATTTGTTTCGTTATACGGAGCCCCGGCATATTTTTAATGGAACTGAGCCCCATTAGGATATTTTTGGATTTTTTATGGCAAGAAATTGGCCAATTTAGCTCTCTTTGGAACACCATCATATTAAAGATGCCATTTTGGGGGATGATTCAAAGGAGAGCTGGATGTATTATATGGGACCATAAAAGAGAGAGAGAGAGAGAGAGTGGAAGGGGGGGGGGGTGATTCTGGTTGCTATGGTCACTTTGCACTTTTATTTAAATGTATGATGGGTTATTTATTAAAGCTCGGGGGTACCGTAGGGGATCGTGGCACACAGCTCACACAGTTTCGATTTTTTTAAATGTTACATTAAAGAGGAATAACACATACATTGCTGTTAATGCAGAGGTCAACGCTCTCATCGGTGAAAATTCAGACAAAGCAGATGCAATAATCTATACAGACGGATCCGTTATACGCCAAAGAAGAAGCGCATGGGCATTTACAGCACGCTCAGCGGGCAGAACAGTCAAAGAAGCCAACGGCGCCTTCTCCATGACAACCAGCAGCATGACGATGGAGGTGATGGCAGTGACGCAAGCGCTTGCCTGGCTTGAAACACAAAAATACACCCGCGTGTGTATACTCAGTGATTCAATGAGTATGATTCGGAGGGTTCAGGCAGGTTCAGTGCGAAGACAATGGCTTGAATCATTACAGAAGTCCACTGTGCGTGGAGTCACCTTTATTTTTGTTCCGGGACACGCAGGCGTCGATGGAAATGAAAGAGCTGACAGGTTGGCTGGATCCGCTATCACTACCGACGCTCAGCCTATGGATCATGCTGATATTATCAATGCCCTCAGAGAAATGGGAAGGATAGAGGACTTTGGTGGCAGTGAATCCACATCACTCGCCAGAATGGCAGACTTGGGAATTAAGATCGGTACAGCAAAAAACGAGACGCACACCAGACACGCAAGAAGACTTGTTAATCAACATAGAACTGGTACAATTAGCCATCGGACGTTGGGGTTCATACTGAGGGGAGGATCTGAGCACCTATGGACATGTCCGGAGTGCAATGAGGATAACCCAACTAACTAACTAACTGACTAACTAACTAACTAACTAACTAACTAACTAACTAACTAACTAACTAACTAACTAACACATACATTATTAAACATTGATTAAAGGGGAAACATACATTGTATAAATATATATATATATATATATATATATATATATATATATATATATATATATATATATATATATATATATATATATATATATATTAATATGGAATGTAAGGATCTCCAGCATTAAACTGGCTTTCTGCTGGCCTGCGGATCATTGCCGGTTGTATTGTATAATGATCTTTCTAAGCTTGGGCTTAGTTCTCTACCTAGTGATGATCCCCATTTTCAACATTTTAGCCCCTGTGACAACTTAGTTGAATAGCTCTGATCTACAGTGTACACTTTCTAATACATCTGTATAAGCTGATCTTCATTTCTGTGAAGCTGTTGTTGATGCTGTCATTCCATATTTTATGTGGTCTTTTCCTGGCTCTGTGTTCATTATATTACCTCAGTGTGGCCTTCTGTGCAGTTGGTATTTACACATATAATTTCAGGTATAAACCCAAAAAGGATTAGTTACAAGTAAAGGTTTATTTCTAGTGGTACGCAATATTTTATTTTTCAAGCATAATTTTTATCTAATAGACACTTTGTGGTGAATATCAGCACCTTTTTTTTTTCAAAGACAAAAGACAAATCCCTAATTGCTAGTTATCAAACATGTTGTTTATCCAGTGTTCAAATATTTGCAAGTAGACCAGAAGCATTATGGGCAACATTTATCTCTGAGGTTAAAATGTTACACATTGTGTGACAATTTAAAAGTTATTTCAAGACTGTTTCCAAATTGTATTAATGTTGACCTTGTTAACCTTTTCTTTCTTTTATTCCCCTCTCCCCCCTCCCCCAACCATTTATTATCAATTCTCCTTTCCTTTGCCATCTTCAGCAGCTCCCTCCATGTCCACCTTGACTTCTGGTCAAAATGGACTTTAGGCAGCGGCACTGTTCGAAACAGAGGCACTGTTTGAAACAGAGGCACATTTTTTGCTCCTGCCGGACAGTGGCCAATGCATTTTTGCTCCATTTGTAGACTGGATATAGTATTGTCGCCCAGCTTCTAAGTTGAATGCATGGCGTGACCCTGTGAGCTGCGGATTGCATTTGGAATGTTTTTTCGACTGTGACCAACGTGTTGGTGTGAATTGTAGATTCAGATGCCTGTCGTGCAGTGTTGTGGTGCACGTATGTGATTAGAATTGATCGCATGGGCAACTGCTGATCTGTTGGCGACTTCTGCTACCATCAATGATGAACTGCTATTCTTAGCTAATACTGTGAAAAACATTCTGTGTGTTTTTCATTGGCATAGGAGCGGAGCAAAGATGGGGTGACCCGTTTTGCTATGAAGCTGAAACTAAGACTACCAGACCAGATGTCCTCACCACATTAATAATCTCTGGTTTTAATTCCTTTCTCTGAGTTAGTTCCAGCGAGTGACTTTGAAAGTGTTATTATGCTTTTTCACTGGTGTCTTTTTCAGCCTTAAATGTCAGAGAAATTTTCCTTACTGACATCAGTGTTCTGAAATAAATTCTCCATCTCCTTCTCAAAGCTCCACTTACTGTATTTATAGTTTATCAGTAAATTTTGTAGTCTTGGGAACTGCACTTAAATTAATGGGTGGCCAGTTCACTTTGGACTGGCTTGTACATATGCTTAGCATGTTGTGATTGACTGCTACCATCAACAGCGAGCTGCAGTTCTGGCACAAAACTGTTAGTTTTGACACATCTGTGTGTGTGAACCTCAAGATGACACGTCTGAGTGTGTGAGCCTCAAGTTGACACAACTGAGTGTGTGAGCCTCAAGATGACACATCTGTGTGTGTGAGCATGAAGATGACACATCTGTGTGTGTGAGCATCAAGATGACACATCTGTGTGTGTGAGCATCAAGATGACACATCTGTGTGTGTGAGCCTCAAGATGACACATCTGTGTGTGTGAGCCTCAAGATGACACATCTGTGTGTGTGAGCATCTAGTGGACACATCTGTGTGTGTGAGCATCAAGATGACACATCTGTGTGTGTACGCATCAAGATGACACATCTGTGTGTGTGAGCATCAAGATGACACATCTGTGTGTGTGAGCCTCAAGATGACACATCTGTGTGTGTGAGCCTCAAGATGACACATCTGTGTGTGTGAGCATCAAGATGACACATCTGAGTGTGTGAGCATCAAGATGACACATCTGTGTGTGTGAGCCTCAAGATGACACATCTGTGTGTGTGTGCATCAAGATTTTGCTGGAAATCACACCGAATGTCCATTACTATCCATTGTACGGGAAAAACTGACACTGTGCACAGTTTAGCAAAGCCAATAGCATACACACATACAAATGCATTAGGCAGCCCTCAGAAGTGCCGACACAAACAGTCCAGTACTAGAAATACAGTTCATCATTGGCGTAATCAGCATTAAAACAAATCAGTAGTTGCACACACACTAATTGCCTGATGCATCTTCACTTCTATGGCAACAGGCCATTCATCATTTGCCTGGATCTGAAAAGACCATACCAACACATTTTTCATCACTGGGAATATGTGAAGATGTAACCTTTCACATTCTAGTGGCATTATCTGATATAGGCAACCTTTACCTAAAGACTGAGTTAACTTGAAAACCCTTCAGGATCTACTTATATACATCACTGTATGATTAAAGACACGTCAATATCCTGCATGGCCTGAACATCAAGGAGAACTGGCTCGTAAACAACAAGCATCCTCTCCTGAAAGCCAAGGTATTTTGGACATGTCAAGTGCCATGGCAGTCTGGAGACAACGGTGATGACGGGTGCAGTTTCCTGAAAATGAGTGTGTGAACCAGCCTCCGCAAAAGTGGGTACAGGACATTGAAGATGCGTTGGCTATGAAAGCACACAGGGCTGGAGAATTGGCTAGAGAAGAAGAGACTTTCATGTGTGCAGTGAACAGGGTGATGTTCTGTAAAGGAGATGCTGATTGATTGTGTGATTAGTCAGGACTACCATAACAATACTCTGAACAGATCCATATGTGCTCTGAGCATCTCCTCAGTAGCTCTCCAAGCATAAGATGTCTGATCAGTTTTGTTCTGTTATATCAATCTGACAAATTGTGCGCTTAGTAAAATGTTCATGTCCGACTGCTCCAGGTTGACTTTTATACCCACTGACCTGGACAAGAATACTGACTCCTCCTTGTTGTCTTGATTGTCTTCATAATATACATCAAACTTTGCATTAATACATCACTCCTGTCTAGTGCCGGGCCAGTCAAAGTAACCCTCTTGTCCGCCATGTAATTCACACTCTCATTGCCTCAAACACATGCTGAGCCTGGCACACAGATAAAGGTTAACCAAGTTATTCACAGTGCTTCTTGTGAGAGAATCCATTCTTTTTTGAAGCCTTCTGGGATTTTCTAGAGCATATTCATTGTCATTCAGTATGTACACATCTGTAACATCACTGTATGAAAGATTCTTTATTGTTATATTCAACACCTTCTCTATAGTAGACATATGTTGTTAACCTTGCTACTGAAATATTTATCTCATGATAAATGATAAATTGTGAGAATTAGACAAAATTGTGATTACAACTTTTTTTTTATTGGTATTCATTTAAGGAAAACTGAAAGACCTCCACATGTATAGCCACTAGCAATGGCTACTCCACGTTATTTAAAGCAAAGAAGTATCAATAGTCGAAGAGTGACTTCAGACATGTCAAGACAAGTCATTCAAGAGCCTTACAAAGCCAAGAAATGTTACTTCTATAGAGATGGGGATACTAAGTTTAAAGCTGTGATGCTGTGCATCCACCCACGAAAGTACAAAAGACTGGAAACAGTTATTTCAGGTAAACTTTGTGGACTGTGTGCAAGTGACATTATTAATTGAATTGTATTTGCAAAAGCTTTATGATTGTTTGTATGTTTTCTTTTTTTTTTCTTTCTTGGGTCAGTACCAAGAATTAATAGGCTCACTTACTGTTGCTAAATAGCTTTCTGATCATGATAAATTTGACTGATTAGAGTTGTGGCAGCAATCAGATGCCAAATGACATAAATAGTAGAAGATAAACGGACAGACATTAGACATAGAAGGAGGTTCTCAAGCAGGTCACATAATAACAGGGCTTTTTCTCTGGCAGTATGCAGTCGTGTGCAATACCAGCACTAGTTCTTTTCTCTTTCAGTCCCAGGGGATTTGGCATGAGAGATCCATGAGGTAATGAAAAGAGATGTACAGTCGGCAAATCTTGCATTTATTGGGCTTCTAAATAGGAACCTGTGAATGTTTGATGCTCTCCATGGGACTGAAAGAGTTAAAGGCATCATTTTGTTTAGCATAACTATGATATATATTTTATAATGAAACAAAAGCCCTGCATAAGAGATTGCCAGTATTTCTGTTGTTAAATACTTGTATGAACATGAATGCCAGGAAAGGATAAGGTTAAAAGTCATCTAACATCATAAAACCGTGTACATTTCTGAAAAACCCTAGAAGCCATTCACCTTCACCAGCTGTAAAACTCCAGTAAAAAGTCCTGGTTGTTTGTCCACTTCTGGACTTTAGTCTTGTTCCAGGACTTGAGTGTGCATACGTTTTACACCTCTAGCTTATTTCTGTGCAGACTGTTTTTCCTCACCTCTCAGAGAGATGCATTCCGACTTTGAAGGAAACGTCAATCCTGTCTACACTGGGCGAGGCTTCCGGTTGGGAACCTGGCCCTAGGATGACCATGATTGGACGAGGCCTGGTCCTGGCATACCACCCTGTGTGGTTCAGCCTCTCTTAATTCTTGGGGTCTGATTGTCCACCATATAAGTATAGGAAAGATGTAGGGTTCAGAGGACAGATCTTTCTTTGGGTAACATTAATAACATTTGATTCTGGTACAACTTTATATAAAGTAAAGCTAAAGGACCCTTTTCCATCTTTGCTAAGTATCTGGTATCTTTGCTAGCCAAGACTTAGTTATGTGGTTCTGGCCACAAGTACACAGTTCCAACACTTTTTTAGGTTATCATTTTTAAGTTCTACTGTAATAGACACTTTGGGATGTGTACCAACACTTTTATTAGACACTTCATCGTAAGTGTCTTTTTTCTTCTAGAAAATAGCCCAGGTGATAGCTATATATTTTTGTAGTCCAGTCAGCACTTGAAGGACAAAATGATTAGTATTTTGCTGGTCACTTATATGTCCCAGAACATTTTCTAGCGCCCATTTTAGACTAGGTCAGTCTTGAGTGCTCAGTGTAATTGATTTTTTTTCATTCACAGAGATTTCTCACTAAGTGCTTGTAATGATTCAGGTTTAAGGATTACTGTTAGGAGTCAGAGGAAACCCCTGTTTACATAAATGATGGATTGGAGGCTAGACAGAAATACCCGACACAGAGTAGGGTCTGACTATTAGATGAAAGCAAGTTTCACAGGATGTTAGCGGGTCTGTGAGAATAGGGGAGAAATACAGGAATTAAGCAAGGGTGTGGATAAAGTCACTTTGATGAGGTACAAGAGGGAAGAGAAGAAGAAGAGGTGGATAAAGTTAACTGAACACCTGATATATGTGTGTGTGTGTGTATGATGAGTACACATGCACTGAGAAGAGAGATATATATATAATTAGAGAAAAACAGACTCTGGGTTTCTGTTGTAAGACCTCAGCTGGCATGGTCAGCGGTGTGTGTGTGTGTGTGTGTGCGTGCATGCATGCATGTGTGTGTGAAGACTAGACTGGACTGAATAAAGCAGCAAACAGTGGTTTGACAGCGGTTTGTACGTGTGACATATTTGGCAATCATGTGTGTGTGTGCGCGTGAGCACATGTGTGTATGTATGCATGGCCAGCATTTTAGTTTTGAAATTTTGCCAGAGCAGTAATACTCAGCTTGTTTTATAAGCAACCATTAAGGAAATCAGCATTTGACTGTGTACAACATCAGAAGCTTTGGGAAATCATGAGGAATATGGGCTTTCCATCACATATAGTGCAGCTCATTAAAATGCTCTATCAAGATCAGCAAGCAGCAGTCAGAATAGATGGAGAGACATCAGACTGGTTTGGCATCAAGCAAGGAGTCCGTCAGGGATGTGTGCTGTCACCGTATTTGTTCAATCTGTACGCCGAAAATATAATGAGAAATGTAAGAGATGATATAAACAAGGAACAATATGATGCCCTAAACATCGGTGGTCATGAAATACCAGAAATTCGTTATGCTGATTGTGATCAACTATTGTTGGCGGAATCTATCGTCGCCTGGAGATCCCCTATATCCTTCCAAATAACCTACAGGGGCTCGAATTAAATAAGTCTAGCGGAATTATAACGGTCCCTGAGTTCTGGAAAATAGAGGAAGGAGAATACAGAAAGTTAAAGAATAGGGTGAATCCCCGGAAATTTCCTAAAGAAATTCAGAAAACAACCAAAGTCAAAACTTTGTAAATTTAACTCAAATAAATTGCAATGAACAATCTTTAGTTTACCTAAGAAGTTAAAATTAATAGGATGAAATCGATAGATGGAGTTTCTAAATAACAACTGTATTGATAAACTACTGATATTGAATTCAACAATTTTCAAATTAACACAGAGAAAATAAATCACAGTGTCATCATGTACACCACAAAACTCTTAACAAACATCAAATGTTACTCAGCTTTCCGATAGTATTGATGAGCGGAAATGTAGTTTCCTTTGGAGGAAAGTCCACTGATAACCCGGCAATTATGAATATGGTTCACGTTCTCCAAGCAACTAGGCAAACAGGCCAACCGGAATCCGGAATTACGGTCCTCTGGTAAACAGGCAGGCAAGAATACAGTAACACGGGATTTTGGTCCTCTGGTAAACAGGCAGGCAGGACTACGGTAACACAGGATTATGGTCCTCTGGTAAACAGGCAAGCAGGACTACGGTAATACGGGATTATGGTCCTCTGGTAAACAGGCAAGCAGGACTACGGTAATACGGGATTATGGTCCTCTGGTAAACAGGCAAGCAGGACTACGGTAATACGGGAACCTGCGGAATACATCATTCAGCCCTGTGTTGAGCATTATGTCGACACCTCTGGAGCAGGTGGAGGTGTTGCGGTGTCTGTGGTGTTTTTCAGAGTAGTAAGCAAGAAAGAACAAGGTTCATATGTTGTCTTTCCCTACAAGTAAATCAAAATTATACAATCTCCACCCTATTATAATATGTTGGTTTATACCTATCTAAATTATGGCACGATCATATAAAACTTGACATAATTAAGCGGACACACATTCGCCTGCGGATTGGACAGTTATTAGTTCGAGTCCCAAAACCCAGGTCGACTTCGCCTTAACGGACACCAGGTATAGTAATGGGAAGTAAAGGCGGCAGGTGTGATGTTGACCACATCAACACCTAGGTACCACTTGGTCTATAAAACATAGGCCAACCCTATATGCCCACAATGCTGACGACGTTTACTCAATTCATGTGTTGCATAATATAATAACATAAACAATGTAATGTATACCCAACTGATGATACCACATGGCACAGGATAATGGTTTCTACTATAAGATCTTTACGCAAGTAGACCAAATGAATATAAGAGTGACAGAGGGAAGAAGGGTTCGCTATTGAATAGTCCTAACGGTGAATAGTAACTTTAAGAACGTCATAATAGGTAAGGACTAGTGAATTGTCCAACGGACAAGTATCAAGGTTGATGAAGTTACGGAATAATTATACAATGGTAGAATATAGAATAGTAGGATCTCAATAACATATTATAGGATACAGCTAAGGCTTATAGGGGATCTCAGCTACTCCCTACCATTATAAATCTCACCTGAAATTGTATATGGTATTATTATTGTGGGTGTTAGGCCGATGGTATGGCTAGCAATCGTTCTGTGTTGTGACGGAATTAGATCTCCTAGTAACACCACAAAACGTCATAAATTATGTGCGCCTTCGTACCATTTTATTCTTTTAGCGTCTATGTTTAAATATATTTATTTTACGTGCGCAATTCTTTTAACTAAAACTTGCAATTAACTCTTGCCGGACTGAAATGTTTCTCCCGTTTTGTCACACTGATGATACAGTATTACTATCAACATCACAAAGTGGTTTAGAAAACTTATTAACCTCACTCCAAAGAAATAGTGAAAATCATAACTTATTTCTTAACATAGCAAAAACAAAGATAATGCATACAAACAAAACTGCCATGGAGAAGGAAATATATGTTAATAAGGAAAAATTGGAAGTGGTGGAAAATTTTGAATATCTTGGGTCACTGGTTACCAACAATGGTGACACAATGAAAGAAATTAAACGGCGACTATCAATTGCTCTTCAAAGACTAAAACAACTGAATAAATTATGGAATTGTACAGATAGAATTACAAAGGTCAGATTTTTAAGAGCATGCATCTTTCCCATTGCAACATACGCCTGTGAGACCTGGACACTTACTAAACAAGCGGAACAGCGCATAAATGCATTTGAATATAAATGTTACAGACAGGTTCTAAGAATATCTTGGGTAAAGAAAAGAACAAATGCATCCATACTTCAAGAGCTGAATATTGAAGAGGGTTGGCTAGTAAAGACAATAAAACAAAGAAAATTGAAATATTTTGGTCACTTGAAATGTCATGGAAGTCTAGAGAGAACAATAATGGAGGGGTATATGCCTGGGAAGAGAGGAAGAGGAAGGCCAAGGAGAAGATGGGTGCAGGATGTGGCAGATGATCTCCAGATGGGTGTATCAGACGCAGGACATCTTGCTCATGATAGGAAGGTTTTCCGGAGGGTTGTTATGGCAGCGAGGTTCCGCGAGGGACATGCCACTGAATGAATGAATGAATTAAGGAAATCATGCATACCAGTTTTTTTTTTTTTTTTTTTTACCAGAGTTTAAAAATAAAAATTAAAGCAAATGTATTCAGTCCACCACTTTAGGTTCATCATCAACATCATAGTCCCATAGAACTGTCACTGGGTCCCCGTTTGCCGTCTGATCGGATCCCTCCCCTCTGTGCATGGTATTTTATGCTCTGTTGTCCCTAGCAATGACACAGCCAATACAGAATAATCCAATCTGGCAGTCAACAGGGTGTGTCTCAGACAGTATTTCAAACCTGGCGGAGATCAATGCTCTCCGGGTGGCCATTTCCCTGTTAGCCTGTAGCTTTACGGATACAGTAAATTAATCGGCACCACAGGAAGGCAGAGTTAGCTTGTGTGGTCGCAGGACAACAACAGGCTACTAGTTTTCACTTTTCATCCTTTAAGTTTTCCACAACTGCTGGCTGCAGTGCCATGCAAATCACAACTCGCAGACCATCTCATATTGGGTGGGAAGTATACCACCTTTTTTCTTTTGTAACAATTCAGCCAAAATTTTCAGACGCCAAACGCACTGACCCCCAATACAGGAATTGATGCAAGGCCAACAAATTTAAAGGGAGAAGAAGTTAACATTAAATGAACCAGGTCTGCTTGAGGCTGAACAAACTAACAATCCATATGAATGAGTTAGTGTAACAACTGTCTGGATAAAATAAAAGTAAGCAATATAAGAAATTTGCACTGACTCTGGACCGACTAGTAAACATGTGATAAGTGTGGCAAAAGAGTTAAAGACAATCACAGAATTTCAAAAATTATCAACAAAGCTGTGCTGGCACAAAAAGTTAAAACTGGGAAGGAAATCAAGACAAATGTTACCTGTCTTAAAACTTGTGAAAACTTTTGAACTTATAGAAAATATTTATACTTGCTGTTTCAGAGTTGTCAGCAAAAGTGAAGTTACCTTTTGGTGTCAGAAGTATCTTCACCCCCAGGGGCAGGGATATGATTACTTCCCTAGATGGCTTTGAGAATGGAGAGAGTTATGTGTGCTCACAACTGAGGCTACAAGCTAGAGGGGTGGATCCAGACAAAGTAGTCCCTCCACCCAGGTGGTATTATGACAAGCCATCTAGTGGAACAAAGGAACTAGCTCTTCTGCTCAAGGTAGGGTTAATTATTTCTTTGTGCAGCTCTGTAGCTTAGAGGTTATTGATTGTGCTTCTAATATTAATCCTCAAGATTCAGGGGTATTTTTCTTTTCTTCTTCACCTTCATGTTCACCAGCTGTAAACTCTTATGGAAGGTTCTGCTTGTTTGTCCATTTCCAGACATTAATCTTGTACCAGAACTTGAGTTTTATGGGCAAAACCATTTTACATATCTAGCTTGTCTGTGTGCAGACTGCTGGTCACTCGCCGCTCAGGCTGATGCATTCCAACTTCAAAAGAAACATCTCTAATTAGTCGCCTTTTACAACATACTCTTTTTTTTCCCAAAAAAATGAGGCTCCAAAACCCATGTATGGAGTATCAGAGTTTGGTTTCCACAGCAGATGTTTTATCTTCTTCTTCTTCGCGTTCACCAGCTACTCTGGTGGAAAGTTCTGGTTGCTCGTCCACTACTGAACTGCAGTCCTACTCCAGAAGCTGAGTGTTGCGTGTGCATCAGTATTACAGATCTCATTCTCTTGAATACAGACTGTTGGTTCCTTGCCTCTCCGGCAGATACACTCCAACTTCAAAGGAAGCTCCCCAATTAGTCGACTCTTACGACATGCTTTTGGGGAGGCAGTGGGTCTATTCTTGTTTTCCCCACAATGGGGCCCCGGAACCCACATGGGGGTGGCAGATGTTTTAGATAAAGATCATTCTTGTGGCTTTTAGATCATGTTATGAGAGTCACACTGTGGAAGAGATTAGGACTTCACAAGATAAAATTTCCAAAAGCAGTATTGGATGCACTGCAACCAACCTAACTGGCAGAAATTGCACAATTTTATCTAATAATTCTTCCTTAAACAATTTTGCAGCGTGATACTTCAAAACCGATATTTCCGATAGGGTCCAGTTCCCCCATAAATGTCACTTTTTTTAACTTGTCTATAGTGACCTGTTTACAAGGCACATAGTTAATGCTTTAGGCTGTTTTTCTGCCTGCGCAAATGTTTAGTAGGTCAGGATATGAATACATTAACTAAAAATAGCATTTGGAGGCAAGGGGTCCTATCAGACAAATAGCTTTTTTTTAAGCTAAGTTGACATCAAATTCTCCTGTAAGTGAAAAACTGATTAAATAAATTTGAATGAGTTTGAATAACTCATCAAAAGTGTTAATGCTTTTTGATAATACAACATGTCATTTTATTGATTCATTAATGGATCAATGTCACTTTGTATATAATTTATTAGTAAGCCAGTATCATTAATGTATAATTTATCATTACAATTTACCAAAAACTAATGTCACTTTATCATATATGTCATCATTTTTCTTTCATTATTGACATGGTTGTGATTGACTTTGTGGTGAGTACTAGCACTTTTTTTTAGTGAGTACTGACACCTTTACTCTTGAAATAAAAGTTCTGTATATAATATGTGTGGGCAGCAAATAATAACATAATATACTAACCAAAGCATTTGACTACAGGAACAGGAATTCAAAAATAAAGCACGGTATCTAGGAAAGAAATATGAGGCGCAGTATCAGAAGCTGTTGTATCCGTATACACGAGTTCAGCCAAAGAAAATTACGATGCTGAAAAATGGGGAACCACACGTCCGCCATGTTGTGCTTATCAATCGACGTACAGCTCAGACATTTGAGCAGATCCTCAGGGACATCAGTGAAATGTTTGGCATGGCTGTCAGTAGACTCTTCACTGTTGAAGGAAGACAGGTGAGTCTGGTGAAATTGTACATCAGTCTTCTTCTTCTTCGTCTTTGTGTTCACCAGCTGTAAACTCGGGCGGAAATTCTGGTTGCTCATCCACTTCTGGACTGCAGTCCTGTTCCAGGACCTGAGTGTTACGTGTGCATCCATTTTACAGATCTGATTTGTATGCAGGCTGCTGGTTCCTTGCCTCTCAGGCAGATGCACTCTGACTTCGAAGAAAGCTCCCAATTAGTCGACTCTTACAACATGCTTTTAGGTATTGCAGTGGGTTTATTCTTGTTTACCATATAAAAGGGGCCCTGGAACACACAGGAGAGATGTACATCAGTGTAGAACCAGTTTAATTTGTGGTTTTTGTTGTTGACAGAATTGAAATTGTCTCAGTGAAGACAGATTTAGTTGTGATTAGTGATTAAAGTTTCCAGCTGTTAATTATAGAGTATTAGTAGTAATTTTCACAAAAATATCTTGTTCAGTCCTCAGTTATAACTGAGATATAAAGTTTCCTAGGGTTCTTAGGGTATGTATTTGTTATTTACATACTATAGGTAAAAGTAAAGGACCCATTTTCACCCCTTTAGGTGAATGGGGAAAAAAGGGTTAGACCTACATTTTTATAGACCATTCGGCACTTGGTGGGTGATGTGGTCAGCATTGTGCTGGTCTCCTTTACTTCCCAGGACTGTACCTGGTACCCACTCAAAGCTGGGTTGACCTGAGAGTCAAGGGTATTTTGAAAAATGTCAGGCTCCATCAGTGTGCAAACTCACAACCTTCCGATCCGCAGGCGAACGCCACAGTGTCTCCCTATTTACATATATAATTATTTATTTAAGACAGTTATGTAGCTTGTATTATTATTTCAAATAATGCTTTGTTTACACATTTTGGGTTGTGAATAAGATATAATTTTTACGACCCAAAGGACCCTCACAATATTTAGCTTGTCATACATCAGTTCACCACCAAGTTGTGCAGAGCTGGCCAGTCTATCAGCCTGCTCATTTCCCAAGACACTGGCATAACCTGGAGAAAATATCCTGAGGATGCTAACTACCTGGGACCTCTGGATTGATGCTTGCCGCTCTGCACGGAGCATGCCTAGATCCACCTTTCTCAGCATGCTCTGTGAGTCAACTGATTCTCCATCCAGCGGAAGGCAGCAGCGACTGCCTGCACCTCTATTCTCAAACTAGACGGTGATATTGTATGCAAGGCTTTGTTGCACTAATAAACATTCATTCGCTTTTGCTATGACACCCCCCCCCACCTTTTTTTTTGCCCCTTTATTTTTACCAAAATTTAAACTAAACTTGTTTTCTCGTGTCAACATTTTCCATGGGTACATGTGTGTCAGTCTGTCTCATATGTGTGTGTGTGTGTATGTGTGCATGTGTGAAACTTATAGGATCAGAAATGAAACTTTATTTGAATGTTACTTTTGAAAACTACTTTTAGAAGAATATAAAGTTCACCTCCACATAAGACTGGTTTGGAAAGAAATCTACACATTTGTATTGATTTTGGTATTAACAGGAATATGAATGATTTAGGACAGTTTAAAAAAAAATAAAGGAAGATCGTTGTATTTGAATAAACTAGGACAAACTGCCACTGCCAAAACAAAAGCATCTATTACGGCCTGTAGTTACCACTTTGTTGGTGTTAGTGTGGGAGTCTTGAAGCCTGAAGTTTTAAGGCTGCATAGCTGGTGCTGTCACCATGGAATGTTTGCTCCCGACAGAGCAAAGGATTCGAACCCTGGTCTCCTGCATGAGAACAAATTCTGCCATCTGCAGCTGGGACAAAGAATGGATAAATTAAATTTTTGGACATCAGAGGTGTATTACAGTGGGGCAATGGTTTAAAAATTTTTTTATTTCATCTTTATTGTTTGTTTAATATTTTGTAAAAACTTTTTTCACATGCTTTTACAGGTTACCAGCCTGGCTGCAGTAATAAATGGACCAGATGTTCTCGTTGCCGCAGGAAAGGAACCTTTCAAACAGATGATACCATTTGTTTATGAACCAGTCGAGTCTCGGGTACGCAGCCGCTTGGAAATGAGCAGACTTGACATGAGAAGTAGGCTGGATACAAGCAGGATGGAGATGAGAAGCAGGCTTGATACAGATCAGCGGGACACCAGAAGCAGGTTGGATACGAATCGTTCAGAGCATATGTATGGCAGAGTTGCTCCAAAGGCGACTAAAAATAAGGAGAAAATGGCAAAAACAAGTGAGCAGTTATATTTAATTTCTTTATGAATATTCAGTATTCTTTTTTTTAAAATTCATTCTGTAAAGGCAGTTGGCACAGTGTTGTGATTTGCACCTAGTCTGTGTGGACTTCAGCATGTTCCATCCCTGAGTGGGTTCTGGGGCCCCATTATAGGGAAAATTATAATAGACCCACGGCCTATGCAAAAGCATGTCAAAAGAATTGACTGATTGGGAGCTTCCTTCAAAGTCACAGAGCATCTGCTTGAAGGCAAGGAACTAACAGTCTGCAACTAAATAAGTCAGATCTGTAAAATGGATGCACATGCAACACTCAGTTTCTAGAACAGGACTACAGTCCAGAAGTAGATGAACAACCATAACTTTCTGCTGGAGTTTACAATTGGTAAATGTGAAGAAGAAGAAGTCTTGTTCCAGAATTTGAGTTTTGCACATCCATTTGAAAGATCTGGCTTATTTATAAGCAGACTGTTGGTTCCTAATCTCTCAGGCAGATGTACTGACTTTGAAGAAAACACCCCTGGTAAGTTGGCTTTTATGACACGCTAGACATGTTATTTAGGTGGGGTGGGCAATGGGTTTATTCTTTTTTTCCCTATAATTAGACCTGAAACCCAGACAAGTACAGAAAATTAATCTGTAAATGATCCATTTGAGGCAAAACGTTCTAAAACAAAAAGGGAAATACCATCAGGGTGGTTGTTACTTTCTTTACAATTGTTTATATCGATATATGATGGTGTATGACAACGAGCAAGAAGCGGAAAAAGAAGAAGAAGAAGAAAAAAAAGAAGAAGAAGAAGAAGACATAAAATATTACCGAATTATAATTTTAAATCAATAAATAACTGACTGATTGCTAACACATTCTGTTCCTCCTACTCCATCTCCATCTTATTAGTTTTAACACTGAGTAAAGTGGTCCTTCACTGTTGTGGCCTAGCATGCACTGAAAATTATGTGCATATGTATTATTAAGACATTGCTGCTTGATTAGATTTACAAGTGCTCAGAGTACTTTCAAACTTTGTAAACTCACCCATGAAAGGAATAAGTATTGCATTTGTGGCTCATTTATGGCTCTTGTAAACATACATTGCTAGATTTGTCCTTGTGTGATTTATGGGGGACAACTTTATTCAGAGTATCTATATGCAGTCAAACTGCTACCTTATACTTCAGACTCAGTGATTAGCCACAAAACAAATGATCATCATCATGTAGCAAGAATTTTGCAGAATGCTATTCCTATCACAGCTCAACAAGTACTCTGCCTAGTCTATTTTTATGCCCCTTTTGTCTTCAGTCTCTAGTGTCTACCTTCATACTTGTTGACCTATAATCAGTCTATATATAATTCTATATAATTATCTATAATTAAAACAAGGATGTTAACTTTAAAACTTAGATATGCATCCTTTTGAGGACATTGCAAACAACAACATTTGTTAGATGTGTGCATTTTTCTGGGCAGTTTATGCTCAGTAGTTTGGCATTGCCTTCTGAGTGTTTGGCTCTCCATAAAAATGTCAGAATCAACACAAACTGGTCTGCAGCCAAATCGTCAATAATGGGAATCAGACTGGGTATTTTGGAATTACAAACTGCATTCACAACCCCTAAGCCACAGATGCCAACATGTTAACTAAGTCAAGGAAAGATATAAAATCTGATGAAAAAAGAACTAGTTAGCTTCACATTATCACAATCACAGATAAGTGAATGATGTGGCTAGAAAACCTTCTTCAGCATTTGACATGAATAGACAGTTTTACAGTTACAAACAAGAATACACAAAATCTCTTAACTGAGGTGTTGTTTGTTGTTTGCGTTTACCGGCTGTAAACCCCTGCGGAAAGACCTGGTTGTTAGTCCATTTCTGGACTTTGGTTTTGTTCCAGGACCTGAGTTTTGCATGTGCATTCATTTTACAGATCTAGCCTATTTGTCTGCAGACTGTTGGTTCCTTGCCTCTCAGGCAGATGTACTCAGACTTTGAAGGAAGAACCTAATTAGTTGACTCAATTCTTGTTTTCCCCACAATGGGACCCCGGAACCTACATGGGTTACAGAGGTATTTCCAAGAAAAATCCACATGTCTGCCTGGCCAGTTAAATCTCCTATACAAATGTGAATACACGAAAACTAGCGAGAAATGTTGTTGCTGGCAATTAACAAAATAAAATGATTTGCTGGTTGATGTAGGCTATCTTTGAAATACTCTCTTGTTATCAGCATCTCATTTTGCAGTTTTCTAGTTGAATTATGTGTTCATTCAGTTATGCTTCGTATCACTTTTACATTAATCACCCTTATGTATGTTATCATTAAGGCCCACGGTTTACCACAGCCTGCAGAATTTCACACCATGTCGCTGAATTAGCCATGTTAACCTAATTGCCATGGTAAATACAAATTTGGCAGAAGGCGATTTGGTCCGATTATTCATTTCATATACAGTCGTACGTTGGTTCATAAACATCTCTAGTCAGGAACAAAACAGCCCCAGAACACAATTTTCCCTCAAAAATTTGACTCGATTTGTGAATAATCCCTCGGTGCATGTGGCTTTTGCACCATATGTTTTCCGCCAGTCAACAGAATTGGTTTTATTCAAGCTTGCATGCTGTACACTGTTCATCATTGTGCTGCTCATGATACAAAATGATACAAGTTGTCCCCCCCCCCCCCCACCCCTGTCCTTGTTTTTGCTTTAAATTAACCATCATTACGTCTCCCAAAAAAGTGAAAAGTGTTAGTGACAGTGGTGTCAAGAAGCCTAGCATATTACAGTAGAAACAAATATCTAAATATTAACTAAACATGACAATTGTATTAGTGTTTCTGATCTCGCCAAGTAGTAGGACATAACTAAATCTACAATCTGTACAATATCTTATTTAGAAAAAAAAAACCAAAGACGGCTGATGTGGACAAAGGAATGACTATGTTAACGAAGCAGTGGTCTTATTTTCTTCAATACTAAAATAATAACTTAAGAAATATTATTCCAAAGTTTGTTGAGAACAATGTTACACATTTAAGCAAATCTGTGGATTAAAATGAATGGATGTGAAAGATTTGATTTACCATATTTCCCTAAGTGCACTTGTTTTCTAAAAATGTAGGTCTAAAAACAGGGTGTGTAGTAGATTTTATTAATCATATTATGTTTCCCCAGTTTCCAGTCCAGAAATCAAGGTCGTCTTAAAATAGAATACTCATATTCTTGGGGAAATAGGCATCTAGAGTTACGAATTAGAATTATAGTATTGCATATGCTGTGCCGTGGTAAGCAGCAGAATTTGAAAAAGCATGTTACAGTAAATCTTGGACCTTAGTTATCATCATAATAGAGCACTGACATATATCAGTCTGTATAGATAGAATCAGCAATATCATCATCTAAATGCACATAAACATATTTGAATCTATTTCAGTGGATACATCAGCAGCATCGTATCCCATTTCAAGCTATTTCAATAGAACAGTCTTCAGCATAATTCATAACAACATACTAACATATTTCAGCCTGCTTCAGTAGATCCGCCTGTAACATTATAACAGCGTAACACACTTCAGTAGATCTGTCATCAGCATCATCATCCAAATTGTGTTAACACATTTATTTTATATATTACACCAGTGTTTCCCAAACTTTTCTTAGGCACGGCGCCCTTTTTGAATTACAATTTTTCTAGGCACCCTAACCTAAGTAAAAGTAAAACTATTCGTATGTAAGAGATGTCGGCTCTGTGGCTAAGTCGATGCGATTGCTTCGTAATGCGGGGATGCCGGGTTCGATCCCAGTTACGGGCCATGTGCCTTGCGTTGGTTGCGACAGTGGTATTAAGAAAGCCGACCGTTCAGGAAGCAATGGCAAACTACTGGACGTAAATTTGCCTAGAAAAACCACACAACAGCCAGGGGCTGTTGAGGTTTTTCAACGTCTTGTAAAGGATACGCAACTTACCTAACCTATGTAAGAGATAAATAAAAAAAAACTCGTGTATCTTTGAATATTTTGCCTCTGTGAAGAGGTTGCGGCTCCTCGGGGTGACGTGGCGCACAGTTTGGGAATCACTGTAATAGACTATTTCAGTACATCCAACATTATCATTATTATAGTCAGAACAGTATGTTAACCCATTTCAGGGGGACAATGGAAAGTTTGGTGCACCACCAGTGACCTCTCGGATGCAGGCACTAGTGCTCAAGTGACAATAACTGTGTATGGCCATAAAGAAAATTCTGGGCCTATACCCCTGGGCTTTCCCGACAGCAAGGCTTTCCAGCGTGGCCAGGTTGATGAGTTTGAAGTAAGCCAAAATTATGTCAGTATATTCTCATATATAAATTGTTATAGAAAGAGAGGGCTTCAAATGAAACCTTAAAAGTGTAGTAGAAAGTCAAGTAATGATGCCATGGCCTTGTAACCTGTCAAGATTGTTGTTAAGTAAGGATGTCAAGAGTGTTAAGCTCATGATGTCATGGCACAGACGAACACAGTGATATAATAATGGCAGTTTAAAGATCTTCTTCTTCTTCTTCTTCACTTCCTCTTTTACCGCTGTGGGTGTCGAGGGAGATATAAGGTTCTGTTTCTAGCTCTTCTGGCTGCCTCGACCATAGGCACATCGTGCTGTTGTAGAGTTTCTCTGATGTTATCCTTCCATCTTGTTCTTGGTCTACCCCGTGCTCTATGTCCTTCTTCTCTTTCCATGTATGCTTTGTATGGTATGGTGTCACGAGGCATTCTCTCCAAGTGGGCAAACCATTTCACTTGCTGTCTTTGTATGTAATCCAGAATTGGTTCTGTGCCGACTTGTTCTCTTATGATCTCATTCCTGATCTTATCTCTTATGGTCACTCCTACAGCCCTTCTCAGACATCTCATTTCAGTGGTTACTAATTTTCTTTTATGGTTTGTTGTGAGTGACCATGTCTGGCACTGTTAGCACAGAGTTGGAATAAATATGCTTTGAATAAGATGCCTCTTTGTGCTGATTGGGATTGTCATGCTGTAAGAGGGGGGCTAGCTGTCCCAAAACTTGGTTTGCTTTACTGCATCTAATGTAGTTATCGCTACAGAAATAAAAATGAGTTTAAAGATGGCTGTCCCAAATGTGACATGCACCATAGAGGGGCAGCGTTCAGTTGTCTGTTTTTTTTTCAGTGAAGGAGTGAACCTATATAAATTCATCAGGAATGAAGGCCTAGTATAGAGATGATGCATGTCAGTCAAGGAAGTGTCTGAGTGGAGTGTAAAGTTTTAAAACGATGGGCCAGAGGAACACTGCTGTGTGCCTGACCCAGTTATGAACAGTCTGTCAGTGTTTTTGTTGCAGTCAGTATTTTCTTTGTGATCAATGTTTTCTTTGTAATCAGTGTTTTCTTGGTAATCAGTGTTTTATTTGTAACGTTTTGTTCTTGGGATTTACTATTTATATTACTTTGTAGTTCTTTTATGACACCTAGCTAATATATTTTGCATAGATTTAGGATAATTGCACCAGTTCATTTCTACCTTTATTTTATGTTGCACTTAAAGACTGATATCTTTCTTGTTTTTGTTCTTCTTCCTCTTCGTCTTTATCTTCTTCTTTTTTTTTCTTTTTCTTTTTGGTTTGCCATTAAAATGGTGTTTGGCTTGTTGTGTTGTGGTTTATAGTAATGTTATGATGTCTGCGCCTTTTGACCTCTCACATACAACTTTGGTTAATCCCTACTTAGTCACCTTTTACCACATTCTTGTTGGAGGGTGGAAAGGGAAAGGGGTGGAGGGGGTCAGTAGGTTTATTATTTTTTTCCACCCAAATGAGGCCTAGGAACCCAGACGGGGAACTAGTAACATCTGATGTACTAAAGATGCTTGGATAAATTTGATGCTACTCTATTGGCAGTTGGACGTAGGGACTGGTATTGGAGAGATCTTCAAAATCAGGCTAGCTCATGACAATACAGGAGAGCACCCAGACTGGTTTTGTGATGAGGTGAGTAATGGTCAGAATAAATCATTAATGTTGATTTCTATAATTGGTTACTCTTTAATCTTTTTCTTCTTTGTTCACTGGCTGTAAGCTACAGCAGAAAGTCCTGATTGTTCATCCATCTGGACCTTGGCTTTGTGCCAGGGCCTGAGCTTTGTTTGTACCTCTGTTTTACTGGCTTATTTGTCTGCAGCTGCTTATTCCTTGCCGCTCTGGCAGATGCACTTCGAATTCAAAAGAAGTCCCCATTAGTCGACTCCTACAACATGCTTGCTGGGGTGGCAGTGGGTCTATTACCCCCCTCCCCCACCCCCTTTCCCACCATGAGGCCGCGGAGCCCCACAGGGAACTCTTTAATCATCATCATATGCCATGACAGATCTCTTCTTTAAAACAATGTTCTCCCTTAGTAAATTTGTGTAATGTGGACATGGACAATACATTGCAAAATTTTTTTTTGCCAGGCATATTTTGCTGCATCTCATGAGGTGCGTTACTATAGTTACATCAACATGTAATAAGTCACATGACCGTCATGAACTTCTAGTGATATGACCAGTTTTGGATCGAGAGAGACCATTTGCATTTCATTGGAATTTATTCAGATTTTATGCTTCAGGAATGTTGGTGTAACTTTGTAGCAATGTACAGCCCATTATGCCTGGTAGTAAATTGTGCAGTTTGTTATGTGTGTTTGCAATTTTTAAAGATCTCATTCTTCCAAATCATGTCTTTCTCATGTTCTTGATAAGTCAACTTCCATGTATGCCAGCCTATCAGGAATTTCTGTCTGTAGCATATTTAGTCTTCTCAGATATGGTGTGCCTGATGATAGTGTTGTTCTGCAAAAGTCCTACCACATGATCATGATGTGTGGGTTCCAGGGCCCCAGTGGGGGGGGGGGGCAGGGGGGGGGGCATTGAATAGACCCACTGACCCTAACAAGCTTGTCATAAGAGAAGAATAATTAGGGGCGAGTCCTTTAAAGTCAGTGTATCTGCATGAGAGACAGGAAAACCAAAAGACTGCATACAGATAAGCAAGATAAGTAGAACAGATGTGCACTCTTAACTCTGGAGCAAGGCCAAAGTCCAGAAGTCGACAAATAAGCAGAACTTTCCATCAGAGTTTACATTTACAGCTGTAAGGATGAAGAAGAAGAAGAAGAAGATCATGATGAAACCATGCCCCATTTCCTTGGCTTAATACCTACTGGACATCTGGTGCTAGCCCCCACATCTTTAAAGACCAGTTGATGCTCAAAGGGTAATGTGACCTGTTTCCAAGAAGTGTAGTTTAATGTCATTGATTCTGATTCTGTTTATTCCTGCATGGCATTTAGGAGGTCAGGATATGACTATATTTACTAAAAATAGAGTTAGAGAGGTTTTCTTGTGAACCAAATATCTTTTTTTTTTTTTTTTGAAGCCAGGTTAACAGCTGTTTTTATTTTGCAGACAAATTTGTTTTACATATTTTATGCTGGGTTGACTAGGTGCATTTTTAAAAAAATGCCCACCTTAACTCTTTGAGTCCCAGATGATTGTGCAGTGGATGCCAAATTGGTACAGTGAAGGCAATATGTTTTTTTTAAAGCATAAATTTCCTACTTTCACATAAATAAGATATATTGGTCCAAGTTAAAACATCACTTCAGATCTTATCAGCATGCCCATGCTTGACATAAAAGATATAACAGTGCACTTTAGTATGATTGATAGATACAAATATTAGCTGATCAGGCATTGAGCTTTGCCTAGGACAGAAACGGTTGATGGGGACTGGTAAAACCCACTGGGCCATCTGGCAAGCTTGCTAAACACCATGCTTTTGTGGCTCTGACTTTTATCTAGATACAGTGAAATTACTGTCTGCATTTATGTTATTATAGATAAGAATGCAAGATGAAGACACCGAAGAGACCCTAGTGTTTCCTTGTCGCAGATGGTTGTCAAGAAATAAAGATGACCATGAAATCTGTAGAGAACTTCCAGTTAACAGAAAAGGACAGCCTCAGTTGCCTGGTAACTTGTTATTTGTGTCTTTCTCTGCTTTCCAGTGTTTAACACTTTCACCTCAAGAACACTAAAAGCTTTGGTCATAAATTCATGGAAATTCCCCCCCCCCCCCACCCCTAAGAAAAATCCCTAAAAAAACAAGCATTTTACAAACATCATTTCAGGGGCCATTTTGTGGGAAAAACAAGAACATACCTACTGCCCCCCCCCACAAGCGTGGCGTGAGAGTAGACTAATTGGAAGCTTTCTTCGAAGTAGGAGTGCATCTGCCTGAGCGGCAAGGAACAACTAACTGCCAGGGCCATATTGTGGAAAAACAAGAACATACCCACTGCGCTAAGCATGGCATAGGAGTCGACTAATTGGAAGCTTCCTTCAAAGTCAATGCATCTGCCAGAGCATCAAGAAACAACTAATTGCACATAAATAAGCTAGTAAAACAGATGTAAACGAAAAACTTAGGTGCTAGCACAAAGCCAAAGTTCAAGAGGACGAACCACCTGGACTTTCTACCTGAGCATGCAGCCGGTGAACAAAGAAGAAGACACAGGTCACTGATAAATATTTTAACAGAAAATTATTTATCTACATGTTGAAATTTGTGTTTTCTCCAAAAGGTATAAAGATCTAAAAGGAGTAATCAGTAAACATGAACAGAGGGAGGCATTAACAGGTCCTAACAAATAAGTATCATGCGACTCAGGCTGTGACCTTGTGACCTTTGTCACAGAGGCTATAGGAACATTTGAAGTCAACCTAGGCTTTAAAAAAAGGCTATCTGGTACACAAGAAAACTTCTCTAACTATTTTTAGTAAATATAGTCATATCCTGACTTCCTAATTGTTACGCAAAAATAAACAGAATCAGTGACATTCAACTACACCTCTTGGAAACAGGTCACAAGTTATGTCAGTTTCACGCCTTTACAAGAATGTGGCAAGGGTGAAAATGCTGGGTTTGCAGCTTCTCACAACAAAGGGTTGACTTCTTTTGGGAGCAGCTGGCAGAGTAGTTTTTTTTTAATTATCAAAAAATACATAGTATCCATCTTATAGCATGTCGTCTATAATGGTGGGAAATATATTTTGAAGGTATTGAACAACGTATCTCTGTTTTGCAAGCAAGTGCACATTGCACTATGCTGCTAGAGCATGTAGTATTATAATCATTAAGTTTCTTGTCATCTGACATGAGTTATCATTCTTCTTCAGATAGTTTTTCATGCTAAAAAAAAGCTGTTCTCAAGCCCTCCCCCCCCCCCCCCCCCCCCCCCCCCCCCCCCCCGCGCCTACTCCTCCCCATCTCCAGCAGCAGCCTGAAAGATTAATGTTCAGTAACTCAAAGAGCCACTTTTAAGATGCAAATCCAACAGAAGCAAATCCCAGAAACTATGTCTATCCACAAACAAGTTATATTGGGTCATCCTATGGTTAAAAGGGAGCTGCTGTGATGTAGCAGCTAGACGCTTGCCTGAGGATTGGAAGGTCATGGATTCAGGTCCTAACAGTGCCGGACTTTAAAAAAAAAATGACCTTGGCTTTTGCTTGACCCAACCTTAAATGGGTATCAGGTAAGGTCCTGGGAAGTAAAGGAGCTTGTGTGATGTTGACATGACCCACTTAGTGCTGATTGGTCTATAAAATTTAGGTCTAGCCCTATATGCCTAATACACCTGAAGGTGTGGAAAAGGGTCCTTTACTTTATCTTGTATGGTTTAGAAATAACTAAGCTACTATCCAGTGTAGGTAGTTACTCTTAAGAATAAAAAAATATCTTTTTGCAAAAACAACTTTTTTGTGGCTTCTGGGTACATTTTTGTTTGTTAACCAACTGTTCATATGTTCTACCACAAGGCTATTCAACTGGTGGCCCGCAGGCCACATCTGGCCCGCAGAGGCCTAACAAGTGGCCCGCTTATCAGTGCCATTTATATTGCAGTAATGAAGAAATATAATGAACACAGAGCAAGGGAAGACCACACAAGAGATGGAGTGACATCATCAGGAGCAACCTAACAGAAATGAACACCAACTTGTACAATGCATTGGAAAAAGCGCAAAAACTATTCTTTTATCTTCCCCCAACACCTCTCTGGGGTAAATGGTGGAAGAGAAGAAGAAGAAGAATGATTTTTCTATGTTGGACTTTAGGTCTCTGGCCTGTGACAATTCCCATTTTTAACATTTTGGCCCCTGAGAAAAGTTAGTTGAATAGCCCTGTTCTACCATAACCTATTATTTTTTTTCCAAATATGTTACAAATACAGTGTAGTAAATATATGAATGTTATCGATTTCCCAGTGATTAAATATGAAGTCACAGTTACAACAGGAGATCTTTGGAATGGTGGAACAAATGCTAGTGTATATCTGACAATCTATGGTGACCGTGGGGACTCTGGGGTGCGTCAGTTGTATGTGAGCGACAAAGACAAGGCCTTCAATAAGGGACAGACCAATCATTTCACCATAGAAGCTGTTTCTTTGGGTCACCTGAAAAGGGTCATTGTAGGACATGATGGAACAGCACCAGGTTAGTTGAAAGATTAATTTAATGGGTCATTTTGTGTAATATTATTTTTATCAACTCTTTCAGGACATTTTTTTCTGAGGTTTGGACAGCATTAATTTAAGTGGAATTTCTTTACTGCAACGTGACAAAGCTAAAACTTTCCTGAAGAAAAAGTGTTGGCTGTATAGGGACATATAATATATCAAATGAAAGGGAAATGAGTGCAGAATAAATCTAAGCTTTTTAACTGTCAGTATTACAACAAAATATTATTAAAATCACACACCATTCAAGGATGTTAGACACATGGGGAGATTATTAATGAATAGTTTAGAGTTCTAGATCATTTCTGAATTTGTAAGTTAAATGATTTACAGTAATTCAATGAAGGTGCAGAAATACTGACAATTAATGGTATGCATAAGTGCATAGCCACCTGCAGTGGTGCACCTAGGATCATGGCACATACTGAAAAGAAGATTTCTTCTCTGTGTGATCATCCTAGAACAGTTTCCCTACTTCTCTTCTCCTCTGTGTGGTCATCCTAGAAAAGCTTCCCTACTTCTCTTCTCCTCTGTGTGGTCATCATAGAAAAGCTTCCCTACTTCTCTTCTCCTCTGTGTGGTCATCCTAGAAAAGCTTCCCTACTTCTCTTCTCCTCTGTGTGGTCATCCTAGAATAGCTTCCCTACTTCTCTTCTCCTCTGTGTGGTCATCCTAGAAAAGCTTCCCTACTTCTCTTCTCCTCTGTGTGGTCATCCTAGAATAGCTTCCCTACTTCTCTTCTCCTCTGTGTGGTCATCCTAGAAAAGCTTCCCTACTTCTCTTCTCCTCTGTGTGGTCATCCTAGAAAAGCTTCCCTACTTCTCTTCTCCTCTGTGTGGTCATCCTAGAAAAGCTTCCCTACTTCTCTTCTCCTCTGTGTTGTCATCCTAGAACAGCTTCCCTACTTCTCTTCTCCTCTGTGTGGTCATCCTAGAACAGCTTCCCTACTTCTCTTCTCCTCTGTGTTGTCATCCTAGAACAGTTTCCCTACTTCTCTTCTCCTCTGTGTGGTCATCCTAGAACAGCTTCCCTACTTCTCTTCTCCTCTGAGTGGTCATTCTAGAACAGTTTCCCTACTTCTATTTTCCTCTGTGTGGTCATCCTAGAACAGCTTCCCTACTTCTCTTCTCCTCTGTGTTGTCATCCTAGAACAGTTTCCCTACTTCTATTTTCCTCTGTGTGGTTGTCCTAGGACAGCTTCTCTGCTAAGTGCATATAAAAAAACTAGTATGCATATTTCCTTTGAAGTCATAGCTCGTCTGCCAGAGAAGTGACGAACCAGCAATCTGTGCAAAATAAGCTAGATCTTGAAAGTAGATGTCATGCAACACCCAAGTGCCATAATAAAAACACAGTTCAGTTTCAGATAACCAGTCAGACCTTCCCATCAGATTGCACCGCCAGTGAACACAGAAGAAACGAAGAAAAAAGAAGTAGAAAGAATTGCCAGTAATGACCGGTGCAAGAATAAAATTGACATATTTAAAATGCACTTTTATAGATAAATAAATGAAGGATAAATAAAAAATTAAAAAATTAAAATCACTCTGTGACTGAAGAGAGGTATCTGACCCTTCAACTGAATTAAATTTTAAATTTTTTTATTTACATTTTTATTTGGGTGGCCAGAATTGTTGGTAGAATATAAATTACTTCGTAAATTGTCTCCGAAGAGTCCATAAGCTGGAATGTCCTCCAGTTATAGTAAAATTGTTATAGTGCTCTTGTCAAAGTCACACATGTGGTAAATGCATAAGACAGCCACCAGAGGTGCCAGCACTAACAGCCTCCCACAAGAATTGCATCTTTGATGATAGCAATAAGTCAAGACAAAACTATGCAGTTTTACTTTACTGCAGTGGAAAACATGCAGTATTTGCACTTGGAGAAAGTTAGTATTCAGGAACCAGTGGCACAAAATCATTTTTAATGTGGAAGGTTTAGGGCATTCTCAATTTAATGAACTACTCTATAGTTTTTAAGAGCTACATAGAGCCAATCCTGATGCATGATTGTGAAGTGTGACTGGGGTACTGGGACTATGTGCTGGCTGCTGAAGAGAATAGTATGGAAATGTATTCAGGAACTCAGTTCAAGTCCAAGCCAGATTAGTGACATTTGAGGTCTATCAGGTTTTTACTGTGGAATGGACTTCCCTTCCCATTTTAGAATCTTAATTGCATTCTTTACGTTTGTTGCCATGACAATAGCCGCCACCTTGGTAAAAAACAATAACATGTATTTAGAATCTTAAAATTTTAAAAACAAACATGGATATTGAGAAATAGATGATGGATTCATGAACTTTAACTCTATGTAAAGGTACAGGTATTTTATTTACTTTTAAGATGTTTCTAAATTTTTTTCATAGAATTTTAAAATATGGTTTTGTTGAAAAGGAAAAAAAAAATTTAACATAATAAGAAAATATTCATATTTAAAAAAAAAAAACTTTCTAAAATCTACTTTTAAATAGACATGTCTCTATAATATTGTTTAAGGAGTATCCTCACCAAATTTCATATTTCTAGTACTGCATACAATTTGTTGTGTTGCTGGACGCTCACTAAGCATGACACTACAGCAACATAGGACAGGCCCTATGACACAACCAAGGTTGAATGGCAAGGAAAGGTACTCTCTTTATGGGGCTGAGTTTGTGAGTTGTACCGGAAAATCTAGTGGTTGAAACCTGTGGCTACCAAGCAGACAAACAGACCTCTTAGTATTGCATCATCATGGCTCCCAAGTCACTAAAAAGTAGGATTTTTTTTTTTTAGAATCATAATTTTGCGAAAAGGTATTTTTTTTTTTTAATGAAGGCAAGTAATCACTAAATACAGAGCAAATAAACAAAAAAATGCAAGCCTTCCTTTTTGCCAAGAAACAGGTATTTGCTTGAAACAGCCACAAAGAGCAGTCATCATAAATTTATTATGACATCACAGTAACAAGCAAATCAATTGTTTTCATCCCAAATAATATCTAATTAAATCTATTTCTACATATAATCATACCCACCATGTCTACATACTATGCAATTGCAGCCTGTACCAAATATATACAGGTCACTGTCTAAAGATGTAATTTCAACAAAACCCCGTAAAAGCCGAATATGGCTTTCGCAGGGCAAGAAGGTTAAAATTAATAATTATCTTGAACAAAGAGTTCAAATACATTGTATCTTGTTTGCTTACTTTGTCTAAATTTATTCACAGATGGTTAGACGAAGGAGAAGATGATGGAAAGATAGTGAGGGAACTGAAAGTGCAAGATGATTACTTGGAGGATATTTTAGAAAAGAGAAATGTAAGTAGTGCTTTTGCCTATTTAAGAAATATGAGAGTTATGTGCTCCTGATTATTCTGTGCTGATGAACATTAAATGAGAAGAATTAAGAAAAGGGGAAAAAAATAAGAAAAATGTTTGGACAAAAGCTTGCGTCATCAGTTATAAGAAAAAGGAGATGACAGTACATTGGGCACATCATGAGGAGAAGAAGACCGAGAATCACTAAAAATGCTCCCTGTATGGGTTCTGGGGCCTCATTATGGGGAAAAACAAGAACAGACCCACTGCCTCCCCAACAAGCATGTTGTAGGAATAGACTATCTGGGGTTGTCCTTTGAAGTCAGAGTGCATCTGTCTGACAGGCAAGGAACCAACAGTCTGCATACAGAAAATTAGATCTGGAACAAGACTAAAGTCCAGAAGTGGACGAACAGCCTGATCTTTCCTTCGGAGTTTACAGCTAGTGAAAATGAATGAAGAAGGAGATGCAGGCACTGAAATGGAAAACACATGGATTTAAGGTGTCCAAGTCAAACCCTAAAACAAACATAGTTGAGACAGGCCAGGGTACTAGCTCAAATCCATCTATGATATCAAAACGACCTTGACTCCCAGGTCGAGCCAGGGTACCAGGTAAAAGTCCTGGGAAGTAAAGATGGCCGGCATGATGCTGACCACAGCACCCACTGAGTACCGATTGGTCTATGGAAGATAAGTCTAGCCCTATATGACCAATACACCTGAAGGTGTCGTGAAGAAAGGGTCCTCTTTTTCCAAAAGGGTTGCATGTGATAGAACAAATGAGCAAAACTGTATTTTTCAAGGGTCACAAGTTGGGCACACTGGCTCCTCTTACTTTCAGCCCTTCCAGACACTCATCTTTCACACATCAACTGTATTTTTATCATTTTATGCTCAGGTAGCAAAAATACATAATATGAGTGTGGGATAAAAATACAAAAGCATGGGCGGCAAAGACATACATTCCAATATATAAACAATCACGCATGCACGCGCACACACACATGCATGCACAGGTGTATGCTGATACTTACATAGCCACACTTCATGCTCTACATACATATACTTACTCATACATCCATATGCATACAGACACACTCATACATCCTTATATATGCACACATGCTTTTACACTATTTACACACTCACAATTCAGGCTCTACATACTTATAAACACTCATACATCCACATACAGACACACTCATATTCATCCTTGTGTATGCATACCTGTTCATGCTCTTACACTCACATACACACCATCGTACATACTCATGCATACACACACCCATGCTTACATATACATGAAATGGAGGACTAAACTGCAAACCCTGTGTGATATATAATGGCACAGAATGATGATGATTATTCTATAATTATGTGGTATGTGAACATACGTATCTATAGCAGTGCACAGGTTGCCAGACTTTGCCAGCGTCCCTGCCAGTATATTTCATCTGTAATGCTTCCCATTATATAAGTTTAAAGTGTTTTCATTTTCTGTACCATTATTTGGGAATTAATGTCATAAAAAAGTTTTGATACCATACAAATTTTTACTGGCTTTTTTATAATGGACACATTTGAAAGGACATGCTCTGTGGGCAGTTAGCAAATAGTAACAGAACAATTATGGAGACCACAGCTGTGATTCAAAGATATATGAGTTAAGCTGAGTCAAGAATTTACAACAAAGCATTCGAAGCATTCCCATACATGCTCTGTCCCCACCCTCAGCAGCCATTGCAGAGTTCTAATACTAATGGTGTCAGTCGTAGTATGGTTGTATGTCTGTCTTGCCTTTCCTCTGAGCATAGTGTGCCGGCCAAACCCTCTGGTCACACTGAGATGCATCATTCTCTCCAGCCCATAATAATCTAGTTTCTCTTCTGACTTCCTTAATTGTTCCCCAAAAGCTCTGACCACATCTGCCTTGTAATGTATCAGCTCACCACCCAGCTGTGCAGATTCAGTCAGTCTGTCTGCCTGTTCATTCCCCACCACGCCGGCATAGCCTGGAGAAAAGATCCTGAGTACACTCACTACCTGATTCCTTGCAAGTAAAGCTTGCCGCTCTGCTCAAAGCAATTTGTCAAAGATATACAGGGGAAAAAAAGGAAAAGGAACAGATGAAAATGTTTGGATGAGCAAAGAAGATCACAACGTCAAGCAGGCCTCAGTATCCTTATTCAGGTCCGTGGATGTAGGAGTGCAGCCTGTAGCAGCAGGACATGAACATTTCACCGTGGGCACAGAACGTCTGATTAAACAACACTAAACTGGTGTGATCAGTCATTTTATGCTTTTGGAGCTAGTGAGGAGGAGATCGGAGGGCCTATGGATCTGTCCGGAGTACTGTGATGATAGTCCTCACTAATCAGACCCAAGACCTGTGGGCCAGCAAGCAAGAGTCTAGCCATTTTACTACCACACTTTGAAGGATATATCATTGGCACTAATGCCAGTTACCCAAGTGCTGAATCTTTGTTTTGAAAGAAACATGTTGAAACAATGAGGTTAGATGGAAATTGTGTCATCTTCATCATCCTCATCAATTTCCACTTTTGCTATTAAATGTCGGGGAGGGGGAGGTTGGGGGGAGGAGGCAGTTTGCAATCGATAGCTTGGTGAGTAGCAATGGCTATTGTAAAACCATGTCAGTGTAGAAGCTCTTTAATGTCTTCAGTCCATGTGAACAATGTGGAAACATGAATTGATCATTGCGATATGGAGAGAATGGTTATGTGGGGAGTGACAAGGGAATCTGCTTGATATTCTACACTCAGAGGAAAGGCCGGATGGACATATAATCAAACTGTTACCTTTGGCATTTGCTGGCTGCTGAAGATGCAGACTGAGTGCTCATGGGTATATGCTGAGTGCTGTGATATTGGTTCTCAACTCAGCCCAACTCAAAAGCTCTTATAGATCACCACAAACCACTTATAGTGGCTGCCATTTTGAACTAAAAATTCATAACACCACCTAACATATTTTGAAAATGACTGTGTCAGATTTGATGCCAAGGTTAACATAATACACCATAGTCAGTTAATTTACTCCCAATGTGGGTTCTAGGGCATCGTTGTTGGGGGGGGGGGGGGGGGGGGGAGAGGGGCATGTCATAAGAGTTGACTAATTACGGGATGTTGCCTTCAAAGTTGCAGTGCATCTGCCTGAGAGGCAAAGAACCAGCTTGCAGTCTGCCTACAAATAAGCCAGATGTGTAAAATGGATGTTCTGGAACATGACAAAAGTCCAGAAGTGGATAAGCAGCCAGAACTTTCCACAATAGTTTACAGCTGGTAAACATGAGCAAAGAAGGATGGAAGTTCCCTTACGAGCCATGACTTCGTCTGTCTGTGGAGCATCATGTCATTAGTTTCCGGTGTGTGTTAAAAAAAAAAATGGTGTTTTTAATGTGTGTATTCTCTTATTGAAATATGTCCATAAACTATGGAGACACAGCCATTCACTGTAAATTATTAATATTGATTTAAATATGGAGATATAATCAAATGTATTAAGTGTATTCATTATTTGAAATCCGTTCGCACTACTATATGCATAGTTGCATGCGTTGAACATGATCATGCCATAGTTATATGATACGTACTGACCAGTAAATAAAAGAGGTGCTTATCATTCCATGATGCAAAGGTTCTGTTTCTGGTCATTGAGAAAATGGTTGATCCAAAATTCGTACAGAGAAGTTAAAGGATATCGAACAGTGAACATCATCAAAGAATGCAGGCAGTGTACACTAACAAATGTGGGATGAAGACAACAGGCGCAGACTGGGTACGAATGTTTTGGAAAGGACATGAGTTCATGACAGATCCTCCATGGCTGGGTCTAGCACAGGTTTCTGCAACAACAAACAAACCATCATGAAAACTGTTGCAGCAGTACAGGTGAACCACTGTCGAAGCAAACGTTTGCTGGCAAAAGAACTCATTGTATCAACAAGGACACTTCAAACGATTGTTTTTAGAAAACTGCGGTATCAGAAGATGTGTTCGCAGTGGGTACCACATAATTAATGTCATTCAACACGTACAAAGTTCATAGACTTTCATTTTCATGGTTCTGGTTCAAGGGAAAACTGTAAAAGAAGAAAGTGGTGCTTTTGCCTCAACTACAAGTAGTTTGACTATGAAGGTGATGGTGGTAACAAAAAAGCAATGATGTGGTTAAAGACACAGCAGTTTTGCCATGCGTTCTTTCTAAGTGATTACATGAGCATGCTTAAGGAGATAGAGACAGGATGGATTTGAAGAAAATGGTTGGAGTCGCTGATGAAATCTTGTCTGAAAGGAATTAGTTTCATTTTTATGCCAGGACACTCTGGGGTCAGAAGAAATGAACGAGCGGATTGGCTTGCAAGGCCACTGTAAGTACCAAAAAAAATAAGTGGACCGAGCCGACATTCTCAATGCTCTCGAAGAGGCAGGAGGAGATAATGATTCAGGAGACAACCTTGAATCAGCAACACTCAAAAAACTACAAGAACTTCAGGTCAAAAGAGGTGTTGCCAAACATGAACACTATACTGGTAGCCAAAGAAGAATAGTAAGTCAACACAAAACTGGTGTTATCAGTCGCCATACACTGGGGGATATATTGAAGATGGGATCTGAGCATTTATGAACTTGTCTGATGTGCAATAAGGATAATCCTTCGATTAACTATTAAATATTTACGTGGTAAACACTTGGTCCAGTGATGGCATTCACCGCCAACCTAAGCAATAGGATGCTTGCCTGAATGCCTACAATGATTTTTTTCTGACCATTCTATGGTGTATAATTAATTGAAAATGAACTAATGCTTTTTTTTAATGTCTGCCACACCTGTTGATGTTTATTTCATGCTTTTATAAGAAAACAGGTTTCAAATGAACACTACTTAAACAAATTAAATGACCTATTTCCACACCTTGAACTAGCATGGAGCTCTAAAGCTAGCACTGTATTTTTAAATAGAATTTGGCACTCACTAGTGATTTGATTGGTCAGTATCATGCCACATCAGTCTATCTTATAATCCCATAACACTGTTTATTGTTTGGTGGCAAAGTTACTGTTGACCATTTTTCTATTTCAGGGAACCAGACGTTTTTAATTTTGAGACTTTTCCAGCATGTCAGAATTTTTTTTTCAGCCTTGTCCCCTCTTTCCTTGTACGGAGTCGTGTAGTATGGTTTTTAATTACATTGCCAGGCTTTTAAGTCTTTTTTGCCTATTTTTTTTTAAATACTGTTGCAACAAAGGATTAATAGTTGTCAAAGTATTTTTATTCTAAGTACTGATTAACAATGTTTTGATATTTCAATTGCTATAAAAGTTACTTTAAACCATCTGCATCATAAAGCTAAGAAACATTGTTCTGAATATGTGTTAGGTTCATGGGGTTTTCATTGTCCTTTTTTTTCAGCGGTTTTCATTGTATCTTCTAAAAAACCGATGGTGCGTGTATTTACCAGCCTGTTTAACAGCAATTTTCATCTGGCCATTGATCAAGGCAAGGTAACAGGCCAGGTGAGTTTAAAGGGAGATGCAGAAGGATTTAGAGAGAGGGGGGAAGAAGTGTTTTGAATGTTATGCACAACTATTTTAAAAGAGGTTTGCTATTGGATCAATATTTTCCTTTGTGGGTTGTGGGTCCCATTTTGGGTGAATAAAAAACTGACCCACTGCCTTTTAATAAGTGTGTTGTAAAACGTGACTAATTAATGATTTGCTACAATCACATGTGTTGTGCCGAGAGGCTATAAACCAAAACCCAACAATTCAACACCCTTAAGATGGCGGAAAACAAAATCACCAGATTTGGTGATGTGGGTTCTGATATTTTTGCTTTGGTACTATTTAGTCTAGCCTTCCATTTATTTATTCTTATCTTCATTTTGTTCTTTCCACAGTTAATTGCACTAAGTGTTTTTAGTCTCATTTGTGTTTCTGTCAGTTCATTATAATTGCAAATTCCTCAGAAACTTAAGCTTCTGCTTGTATTAGATGTTTTTTTGATCGACATTTGTGTTTATTGTGCATGTCTGATACATATAAAGCATTGAAGGTTAGTTGAAGCTTACATTTTCCCATCAAAATATTTATTTGTATTAACACTGTTTTCAGCTTCAGATGCTTCTTTTAAATGGCAGTTCTTTGTAGGATCTCTCTAGAGCAAGGTTTTCAGCTAAGTTTACTCAGAGGCCAACATCTTGAAAATGGGGATTGCCAAAGGGCCAGAGGCTCAAGCCCCAAACATAGCAAAATCATTATTAAAATACAACTGGCAATGATCAGTGCTAGGTCTCCACAGGCCAGATTTGCCCGCAGGCTGCCAGTTAAAATGCCCTGCTGTAGAGCAATGTTTGAGTGGAGGATAATTGCGCCAACCTGACCATGATTTAGAACAGGGCTATTCAGTTCAGTTTACTCAGAAGCCACAATGTGGCTGTTGTCATGGGCCAGAGGCCTGAGCATCAGCATAGGAATATCATAGATACAGTACAACTGGCAATGATCTATGGACCACTTGCTAGGTCTTTGTGGGCAGGTTTTAGCCTGCAGACCGCCAGTTGAATAAACCTACTTTAGAAACTTTAGAATGAATAGCTGTGGCCTGAGGGGCTGTCACATTGTGAGGATGCTAAATGTTTAAGAATTTGTATGGATCTTTTGTCCAGACCATGCAAGAGTGCACAGAAAGGAAAGAGCTGATATGCAGGTTTCAGAATCACATGTCATTAGTTTGCTGAAGAGGAAATGAAGAAATGCACTTTAACCAATAAATAACAACTTGGCACAAGGAGACATAACTTAAATGAATCTTCTCAATTACATCTGTTGATGTGGAATATTAGGTTATGTTATGTGATCACAATCAACGTCTTTGCACATAGGGCATCTCCTTGTGTGCTCAATCCTTTGAAGCAGCAGCCACTCCAAGGTACCTTTACCAACTGTTCCCATGATAAGTTGGTTATAGTATCTCTTGTCTTTACCTCAAAGACAGCATAGACGTTCTTCACCAGACTTAACTCCTCGGTCACGCAGTCGTGTTAGTGTCAGAGATTCACCATTATCTCCCAACCTGGTCCGTACAGCGTTGATGATATCAGCTCTGTCCTTGCTTCTTCCCAGTGCATTAGTGCATTACTTGCCAGCTTGTCAGCTTTTTTTTTTTAACTATTTACTCCTGCATGCCCAGATGTGTAGAAGCAAATGATGTAGGTTACCTGACTTTCGAATTCTTTCTACCCATTCAGAGTGTAGATTACCTGTTGTGATTTTTCTGTAGCATGTTCATGGTACAGGATCGTAATACATTTAATTAGTCGGCTAGCCAAAGAGTTAAACAGCATGCACACTGTTTTACTTCTGCTATACAAACTTGACCACTGATTGAATTTTCTCCAGTACAGTGATATTAAATCTTTCAGTCCTAGATGGTTTCAAATCAGAAATCCATTGTTGGCACAATAATCGCATTGAAAAGGACATCATTGTATGTCTTATGAAGATGCAGCATACACTGTGCTGCATTTAAAATATTTGGCCAGATTTGTTTAGCATAACCAGACTAAACATGAAATAATAAGACACCATGTGTTATGTTGAAACACACAGACGTAGGTTGAGCACATTTAGTGTGTGATTTGGAACAAAACAAGTTAATTTAGTATCTTGACCATTTATATCATTGTCATCACAGTTTTATATTTGATTTTATATTTTCTTTGCATGTTTTTCATCATGGTTATTTCTTTACTTTCCATTATGTCCTGACTTTTGTTTAGGGTCGAGGAGGTCCACAGTGTGAATTCAGAATCCATGTTCAGTCTGACCGAACTGTTATGTTGGAGGGAGTCAAATTCCCCTTACAGTTTATTACCCTGCAAGAAAATGGCAAGCTGGGAGATCCAAGGTCGGTCTTGGATAAAGATCCAGCCAAAAGATTCCATGTGTATGTCAAGGTAAGTATATTGTCAGTGTCAGCACAGCTGTGATTTAATACATTTCCCAACATTGACTAAGTAAAACCTGTTAACACGAATAGGTCTAAAAAAACACTCAGTTAATATGAACAAAACTTTGGCTCCAGCAGGGATGTGTTATTATTAGTCTCTGGTTATACCACATTTATTTAACATGAATTGTAGATTTTTGGTAGCTCATGATTCATGTTAACAAGGGTTTAATTCTATTAAATTTGAGAAAAATTCCCTTTTATACTTTTAAAAGATTGGAAAGGCTAGTAAATTTTAACTGTTCATTGCAGGGAATCAATGTTTGAGGCTTGAAACAGTTACCACTAAGGACAGGGTAGCCATTGTAGCTTAACAGCTAGATGGTTGCCTGCTGGCTCGAGGGTCTTGGTTTCAAATCTGCATCAAGGGAGATTTTTTGGTTTACAGTTGACCTTGGCTTGCCTAGGTCAGTTTAGCCTAAATTCAGTACCAGACAATGTCCTAAGAAGTAAAGATGGCTGGCGTGATGTTTAGCACATAACACATCAAGTCTATAAAATTATAGGTCTAGTACAATAAACATGATGGGCCAAGAGAGCTTTACTTACTCATTTACCAGTTTGGAGAGAGGAGAAATTTAAATCACAATCCACATGTGCCATAGATTTTTCATGCTGTGGGGCCTCTGCATTGCTCAAGCAATCCCCCCCCCCCCCCAAAGAAAAACGTAAATGGGTGTCTTTTTTGTGACTACACTGCACTACCAGAACAAACATGGACAATCCTTGAAAATAAAAAAACGTGAAATCATAGCATTATAGATAATGTGTATATGAAATGCTGCTGGTTAAAAAAGGAGAAATAGAAATGAAATACTGAGAGAAACTTGAGGACAACACCAGCCATAGATTTGAACAAACATCAAAGAATCAAACAGCTTGGACATTGTTTGTAGTTTGTCCACTGAAGGATTGTAGTCATCAGGTTTAACACCTCATAGAGGAGAATCCTACATGTACAGATTGTTGTAAGCCCTGTTTAACTGTAAGGTTATACTGGGGCTTCTGAGGGTTACAAGGTAACTTGAGGTCCGGTTCAGGCAAGGAATTGATGCTTGGACATTTGGCCAGAATGGATCCCAAGCAACATACATTGTTAGCATAAAAGTAAGTAAAGTAAAGGACCCTCTTCCACACCTTGAGGCATATAGGGCTAGACCTATATTTGTATAGATGAATCTGCACTTAGTGGGTGATGTGGTCAGTAGCATGCCAGCCACCTTTACCTCCCAGGACTGCACATGGTACCCACTTAAGGCTGGGTCGACCTGGGAGCCAAGGTCATTTATAAAAATAAGTCCGGCTCCACCAGGACCTGAACCCACGACCTTCCAATCCGCAATCCAGCATCTAGATGCTAGTGTTAACACAGGACCAATATGTAATCTTTAAATTCTTCTTTATAACTGTATTCACACAATACTAATGTCTCTACAGGGTGTTCTTCGACACAAAGGCATAATCATGTTACGGACATCCAACATTCAAGCCATCGGTGTTGACCACGACAAGTCTGTTTATGCTACCGGACGCTGTAATCGAGCAGCTCATTTCCGAGTCCACAAAGTAGATGAAGGTGGTATCCGCATGTTTGAGAGTATGATTTACCCAGGATTCTATCTCAGATTTAAAGATGGAAAGTTTGACTGTAATGTGAGTACATTATTATGAAATGCTTAGCTGGTTAGTCATCTGACCAGAGCATCCCACAAATCACAAACTTTGTAGCGTTGGCGATCTCCTTAAAAATTGCACATGTGAACTGAAAAGTTCACCTATCAAATGAACCCATGACATGAGGCAAAGGGCTTGACCTCTTCAGAGACATATTATCCATCAGAAAATGCCCTCTCTTTTTATAAGGACTTATGCTGAAGATATCTATGGTGACAAGAATCCGCATGCCTGGATAGCAACTCTACTTCCAACTTGTCATGTTCCAAGTGGAAGCATCACTTCAGAGGTCCTGGGTAGTTAGCATCCTTTGGATATTTTCTCCAGGTCATGAAGGTGTTTTGGGAAATTAGCAGGCAGAAAGACTGATCGGTTCTGCACCACTTGGTGGTGAACTGATGTATGGCAAGTTAGAAATTGTGAGGGCCTTTGGGAGCGAGTGAACAGTGCCGAAGAACAAATAGATCATTACGAGGAATCTGTTTAGTTGGTCTAATGTTGAATGTTGAATTAAGAATCAACATCACAGCACTGGGGACACTCCTATAAGCACTCCTACCCCATCTTCAGCAGCAAGCAAAGAGTTTTCATTCCAATAGTACCAGTAATTGTCTGATTGTATATCTGCCTCACCCTTACCTTGAGTGTTGAGCGTCGGCCAGATTGTCTGATTATATATCGATCACACCCTTTCCTTGAGTGTTAAGTGTCGGCCAGATTTCCTGGTAACTCCCCGCAGCGCCAGTATCCTCAGACCGTAATGATCTATATTAGGGCCCTCACAACATCTAGCTTGTCATACATCAATTAACCACCAAGTGGTGCAGAACTGGCCGGTCTATCTACCTGCTCATTTCCCAACACACCAGCGTTACTTGGAGAAAATATCCAAAGGACGCAAACTAATCGTAATCTCTGAAGTAATGCTTGCCACTCTGCACAGACAGAGCATACCTGTCTCCACCTTTCTCAACATGCTCTTTGAGTCAGTTACAGTCACGGCATGTGTGTTTAGTTGGTTTTATGATGGGAAAACAATACTTTCCTCTGTTGTTTTAAAAACACCAACATTGTGTAATAATTAATATTTTTCTCTGCTCTTATTTACAAATTATGAAACAGTTTGACAGTGACAATTAACATTTTTTTTTTTAATTGCAATTTTAGGGAAGCAGAAATGAGGATGCCTACTTCCTGGTGGAGAAACACAAATACAAAGGCTATTTCACTCTGCAATCGGACAAGAAACGGGGAACCTACATGGGGTTCACAGCGCGGGGTGAGGTGGTTCCTACCATTAACACTGGCACCAACAACATCTATATCTTTCCAGAGGTTATAGAATGTAAGTCAGGCAATCATCCTGGCTGCTAAAGATTGTCCATAGTGTAAAATTTATGTTTTTTAATTAATGTAAATCCCCATGTGAGTTTCTGGGCCCCATTGTTATAAGAGTAGACTAACCGAGGATTGTTGCTTCTTTCCTTCGAAGTCAAGAGTGCATCTGCCTGAGAGGCCAAAGACCACAAGTTTGCATAAAAATAAGCCAGATTAGTAAAATGAATGTACATGCAAAATTCGGACTAAAGACGATGATGAATTATCAGAACTCTCTGCTGGAATTATGCTGCTAGTGAACACAAAGAATCAGAATTAATGTAATGGGAGTGGGAACTATGGTAGTGTAGTGGCTAGACACTCGCCTACAAGCCCCAAAGTCTCAGGTTCGAGTCTGAAGGAGGCAGATGTTTCTCAGAGTTGAACTTGGTTCCCACATCAACCTAGCCTGAAATGAGTACCAGGTGATGTACTGGTAAGTAAAGGCAGTTGTTTGTGATGTTGGCTGCGTCATCCCTGAAATGCCAGTGGAGATATTAACAAATATGTCGAGCATCTTATGCCCAGTGTGTAACTGTAGTAATTGTCTTCTTCTTCTCCTTTTTCTTCTCTTACTTCTCCTTCTCCTTCTTCTGCTTCTGCTTCTTCTCCTCCTCCTCCTGCTTCTGCTTCTCCTTCTCCTCCTTATGCTTCTGCTTCTCCTTCTTCTTTTTCCTCTTTATCCTCTGGGTTCCAGGCCCCCTTGTGGGGAAAACAAGAATATACCCACTGCCTACCCAAAAGCATGTCATAGGAGTCAACTAATTGGGAGTTTCCTTCGAAGTCAGAGTGCATCTGGCTGAGAGGCAGGGAACCAGCAGTCTGCAAACAAATAAGCCAGATCTGATAAACAGATGCACACTCAACACTCAAGTTCTGGAACAAGACTAAAGTCTAGAGATGGACGAATAATCAGACCTTTCTGCCAGAGTTTACAACACTCAAACATGAAAAAGAGGAAGAAGAAGAAGAAGCAGACGAAGATCTAAATTACTGCCTCTTACATTACCCTAATACTTATACAACTGTTTGTTCCACATCATGTGTCGTGACCTCTCCTTGTGGGTTCTGAGGGAAACAAGAATAGACCCAAGCCTCTCCTAAGCATCTCATAGGGGCAACTAATTAAGGGTGTTTCCTTTAAAGTCAGAGTGCATCTGCCCTAGTGGTGGGGAACCAATTGTTCTCCACCTCCCCCTTTTCTTGCTAAGCTTCTTAGTCACAGTTGATTGGAATAATTTTTTGGTATTAGCCTGTCTGCGGTCATTCTTGTTTTCATCACTTTTTGGTTGAATATGGTTTTTTCAAAGTCAATTATTTGAAAACGTTACACACATTACAGTTGGCACACCAAAGAGTGAGTTGACAGATGCCAAACTGACCCCAATCTCTGAAAGGGCAAGTTACAACAGTTCTCCTGACATGAAAAGAAAGATGAAGGCAGACATTGAAGGTGAGTTATCATTTTGTTTAGCCTAATACTAGTAACAGACAAGTTTCCTCATTATGACCTGCAAGATTCTTTGTACCAACGATTGATTCTTTATATTTTTTTTGTCACTGTTGGTTTTGTGTCAGAATACATTTGTTTAATGCCTTTAGATTTGTTTAATCTTTTTTTTTCTTGGGTGTCTTTTTAGTCTAGTATTGTTAACTTTGCAGTGGAAGAGCAAAGTTGAAAAAAAAAAAGGTATCTGATAGAGAATATCCTAACTGGAGAGCAGGACTGAAATAAGGCAGCCATGGTGGGATTTATAGCATGTAATTATTGGAGTATCAGTGCAATCAATTGAGAGAACAGGATGGGACTTGACACATCATCTTCATCATGTGCCATGCCAATAAGTAGAATCACCAGAATCATAGCTCAAGTAATTCTTGTCACACCAATCTTTACCTGCAGTTCTGAAGGTCATGGATTCCAATCCAAACAGAGCCAGACTTTTTTTCTTTTTTTTAAAATGACCTTGGCTGAGAGAGAGAGAGAGAGAGAGAGAGAGAGAGAGAGAGAGAGAGAGAGAGAGAGAACGAACGAACGAACGAACAAACTTTATTTTCAAAGGGTTACAAATTGGGCACGCAGGCCCGTCTGACATTCGGCCCTTCTAAGTACTCATTTTTCAGAGTACTAATACCTGTTATCAATAATGCATGTTATGGATTTAAAAAGAAATATATAATGCATACACACATCGTGTGTACGCCATCATACACACTCACACACACGTATACATACATCTACATTTTCATACAGGTGAACTCATATACAGACATACGTGATACATACACACCTGCATCTACATACATATACAAGCATACACATACACAGAAATAAATGCACAAACAGAAAACACACACACATACATTTATGGATATACATGCACACACGCATTCCATATATACACATCTATACATGCACCCATGCATACACACATATACCATTACATGTACAGACAACAACATATGCCCAAAACCACACATTTACACTTACATGAATACATACACCTACACACATGCATACATATATCCACACATTTTTACCTAAACTCACATCTTTACACACATACATACATACCTAAATATACTTTCATATATCCACATGCATACACACACAATCACACACACATGCACACTTGTATGCTTTTATAAATACACAAACACCCACATACCTACACAGCTACATATATATATATATATATATATATATATATATATATATATATAGAGAGAGAGAGAGAGAGAGAGAGAGAGAGAGAGAGAGAGAGAGAGCAGGTACCAGGTAAAGACCGGGAAGTAAAGGCGCCATCAGGACGCTGTCCAGCTATCATTACTAAGTTCTCAAGAAGGGCAGACCTTCTTATATTATGTCTGATAAAGACCTAAAAACAAGCCCAGAAAAACACCTTATAACAAGTCTGAAAAACACCTTATAACATGTCCGAAAAACACCTTATAACTAGTCTGAAAACACCTTATAACATGTCTGAAAAACACCTAAAAACATGTCCAGAAAAACACCTTATAACATGTCTGAAAAATACAGACTGTCACATGTAATTTCTCGAATCAGTTAATAGTTTTCATCTGTCTCAAGGAGGACTGCCTCATTTTTCTATCCTTTTATGATGTTCTCTCTATTCTTCTCAGAAACCACATCTCTGCTGTGAGAAAATTTTTTCAGCTTTTCTGCTTATAGCCTGATATTTAGATCAAGAAAATAATAAACACCGAACAGAACAAGGCAGAGCATGTTCTGCATAATGTTCAGCATCATAATTGACATAGATGTAGTCACTCGGCTCTGATGTCTCCTTTTGAGACTCAGTTAAATATGGCAGTCATCAAAACTGACTTACAGTAAATGCTAGATAACTCTAGCATGAGTGATAAAAAAGAAATGAGTTAGTGCCCCTACGAGAGTTGAAATGACTGTACCATCCAGGACATAAGTGGTGCATGCAGGCATATGATGTTAGACTCATAGTTTTATAGACCATTCGGGTGATGTCAGTATCATGCTGGCTTCCTTCACTTCCAAGGACATTTCCTGGTACCCAATTTAATGTGGGTCGATCTGGGAGATGAGGTCAATGAATAAACATCTACCAGAATGCCGATTTGAACCAAAACCTTTGGACCAACACGAAAGGCATTGCAAGCCAATGCAATCTAGTTTCGTCCTTTTTAGGACGAAATTTTTGGTTATTTGAAGCCCCACCCTGGCTTTTGCCAGAGGCCGCAATATAGGCAGGCCATAAATATGGCCAATTGTCTGAACGCGGTTTCTGGGACCTCTCCACGGCGATCCTCAACCACATGGCGGCACTTTGTGTCATTGCTTGTGTGATGTCCTGGTGGGGTAGAAAGTCAGTCAGTCAGTCTAACAACTGTACTAAAAGACTTCCAGTGTAAATATTTTTTGTTTTATTGAGGTAAACTTCAGAAAGTACCTATAGTAATACTTTTTTTTTTTTAGAGGAGCCGTCTTGGTGTAGTGGCTAGACACTTTACCTGCAGTTCTTAAGGTCATGGATTCCAATCTAAACGGAGCCAGACTTTTTTTTCTTTTTAAATGACCTTGGCTGCCAGGTTGACCCAGCCTTTAACAGGTACCAGGTAAAGACCAGGAAGTAAAGGCGCCGGCAGGACGCTGACCACATCACTGGCTGAATGCCAATGGGTGTATAAAATATCCTTCTAGCATTATATGCCCAATAGGCCTAAAGGCGTGGAGAAGCGTTCTTTACTTTAATACTTTTTTAGCATAACCTATTTTTGTTAAACATAACTGTTGTAAATGATGTCCTCTAGTTTGTCTTAGTTTATATTCTGTAAAATTTTGTATTTATCACAAGATGGTGACTATAGAGTACTAGTTACCACTGCTGAAAGTCTTGACCAGGGGCAAGTCATTCTAGCAGTTTATGGTGACAAGGGAACAACAGGACCTATTGTTCTCTCTGGATCAGACGATAATGGGCCTCGGTTTAAAGCAGGCAGTACAGATGAATTTAAGGTATAATGTTTTAAAATTTTGTTTATATTTTGAAACTGACTTTTGCCTTAGCAGCCTGTTTTCAGTCTTTGAAAGCATTCTCTGAAAGTATCAAATACAGGAGCTGCTTGTAGTAAAAAATACTCATAAATCTTTACATTCCTTATTCTAACAGGTATTGTGCATCTCTGAATATATATGCTTCAGTGTCTTTTCATTGTTTTCCATAAAGTAACGAGTTGTTAGGAATCACCATTTTAGAACTAGGTACTTTCCCATACAAACTTGCCTCCTCTTCAGCAGCCAGCGAAGAGTTCTTTTTTTCACTGGTATCAGTAGCATTCCATTAAATCATTTGTATTCTTGATATGCGGCTAGTTTAGCCTTTCTTGAAGTTTAGCGTCATCGTAAGTTTCCACTTCTGCCATTAAGCATTGTGGGGAGGAACAGTCTGATTTCCATTGCTTCTCAGACACTCAGCTCTTACCAATCTGCAGTAATTTGCTTTTTTATTCCCATTCCATTCATGTTTTTTCCCATCTATGCAAAACACTCTGTGGCATCCTATTCATATGAATCTACCTCAATAAATGTATCATTCAGGTCTCACTTTCAATATAACAAAACTCACACTATTGTTATATGTCAATGTTTACCTTACAAAAACTCTTTAGCTGAATCTTTTTTGCGCCAGGAAGCAAAAAAACTGATACTTTCATTTAGGTCTAATTCCCCATAAAAAATGCTCCTCACTTCAATTTCCTCAGAAATTGATAGGAAATAACAATTAAGAATACGGCGCGTAAATAACAATAAATAAATTTTAAAAAGAAACACTGTCATTCCTGTCTGTTTTACCACTTTGGGGGGAGGGGAAGCAGATAAACTATAATTACTTGAACCATTAAAACAGAAAAAAACAAAACAATTTATTTGGTTAATTGCCGTTACAGCTTGCTTTTACCACTTTGTGAGATTGTGTAGGACAAGGGGACCTTGAGCCTGAGGATTCCCTGTGTGGGTTCCGCTGCTCTATTTTGAGGGGGTGGGAGGGGGAAGAATAGGTCCACCACCACCCCTCTAACTAGCATGTTCTTTCAAAGTCACAGTGCATCTGCTTGAAAGGCAAAGAACCAGCAGTCTGTTTACAAATAAGCCAGATCTGTAAACTGGATGTATGCTAGACACTAGTTTTTAAACAAAACAATCCATGTGTGGATTCTGGGGCCCCATTGTTGGGAAAACAAGAATACACCCACTGCCTCCCCAACAAGCATGTCATAGGAGTCGACTAATTGGGGACTTCCTTTGAAGTCGGAGTGCATCTTCTGGAGTGGCAAGGAACAACTAACTGCATACTGATAAGTCAGTAAAATGGAAGTAAACTCAGGCCCTGGCACACATCTGGAATCCAAATGGTTGAACAACCAGGACTTTCCATTGGAGCTTACAGCTGGTGAACAAAGAAGAAGAAGAAGAACAAAACAAAAGTAAAGAAATGGATGAACAGCCAGACATTTTTGCTGGAGTTTACAGCCAAGGAACACAAAGAAGAAGAAGAAGAGTCTGAGGATTTAATGCAACGTGACTAATGCAATCGCTACAGACTAGGAAGATTAGTATTCTATGTCCTTCCAGCCAGAAACAAATCCATCACCTTATTCAAGATTTGAAAAGAGTCTCCTGAATCTGAACGCACTACTCTGAACTGCTCATTGAGCTGCTTCTCATTTATCTGCCTAATATTATTACAATCAAATATTTAAAATGTCATTCAGGAGAGGCTGGTATTCGACTTTAATTGCTGGCTGTCAAGAGAATATGGAGACAAAGAACTGGTGAAAGAGTTGCCAGTGATGAAACCATCTCGTGAGGAGGAGAGCTTGCCAGGTAAGATTGTTGTTGTGGTAAATGTATGGCTGCCAGAGGCTTCAAGTTAATCGGTCAGATATGTAAATGTATGCTTACACACTCACATGTAGGTTGTGACAGGCCATGTTATTGTCAGTAATAGCTACTATTACAGTGGTTTAAAAGTACTCATTTGTAAGAACAAATCAGCACTTTCACATTTGCTTGGAGAGACTGAACATCTCTTTTGTTTGTCCCAAGTACAGTAATGACATTATTAATAACATTGTCATGGGATATCTTAAACGAAATTAATAGTTATTTTGGTTAATACTCCTGGAAATAAAGTGGAGATAGCCATCAGCTGACTGAAAGAATTCTGTAACTGATTTCTGATCCATTTCTGTTTCCAAACAAAAATATTTGTGATTTATGAATTGTTGCATATTTCAAAGAAATGAAATTATTGACAAGAAATGTTCAACCTTGCTTAAATGTTATTTGTGACAAGCTGGGAAATACCTTGACAGAATCTAGACAAATTCTAGAAAGATGGCAGGAATACTGCAGTGTATGATAGGAATGACTGTGAGGATATGAATGAAATATATGAACCAGTGACAGCAGAGACAAAACTGAATCCTCATTAGATGAAATTGCATGGGCAATAAAGAACCTGAAGAATGGTAAATTACCAAGATGTAATGAGATACCAGCTGAACTAATTAAAGAAGTAGGGGAAGAAAGCATACATATCTATCACGTATTATGTAAAAAGATATGGAAATATGGTATATGGCCAAATGATTGGAAGAGAACTTTCTTCACTCCAATACCAAAATAAGGCAACCTGAAATTATGCACCAACTATGGAACTGTTGCCCTGATCTGTCATGCATGTAAAATTCTACTAAAAATCATAACGGGAAGACTTTGTAAGAAAACTGAAGAATAGATTAACGTGGTTCAAGCTGGATTTAGACTTGGAAGAGGAACAAGAGATCACCTCCTCAAAATGCATTTAAGAACAGAAGTCCAGATAATTTAATGTAAACCTTTTCTCATGTTTTGTGGATTATTCAAAGACATTTGACAGTGTACAACATCAGAAACTCTGTTAAATCAGGAGAAATATGGGTTTTCCATCACATGTAGTACACCTCATAACAATACTCTATCCAGACCAACAAGCAGCAGTTAGAATAGATGGCTAGACATCAGACTGGTTTGAAATTAAGCAAAAAATCCGCCAGGGCTGTGTGCTGTCACCCTATTTTTGTAACGTGTACACCGAAAATAATAAATGTCAGAGATGATATAACCAGAGAGCAATTTGATGCCCTAAAAATCGGTGACAATGAAATACCAGAGATCCGATATGCTGATTATACAGTATTGCTATCTACATCACAGACAGGTATAGAAAACTTAATTACCTCAACCCCAGAAAATAGTGAAAATCACAACCTATTTCTTAACATGGCATTAACAAAGATAATGCATACAGATAAAACTACTATGGAGAAAGAAATATATGTTGATGAGGAAAGATTGGAGGTTGTGGAAAAGTTTGATTTTCTTGGGTCATTGATTACCAACAATGGTGACAAAATGAAAGAAATTAAATGACGACTATCAATTGTTCTTTAAAGACTAAAACAACTGAATAAATTATGGAGTGGGTCAGGCAGAACTACAAAAATTAGATTTCTAAAAACATGCATCTTTCCCATTGCAACATACGCATGTGAGACCTGGACACTTACTAAACATACTGAACAGCGCGTAGATGCCATTAAATACAAAAGTTGTAGATAGGCTCTAAGAATATCATGGGCAAAGAAAAGAAAAAATGCATCCATACTTAAAGAACCGAATACTGAAGAAGGTTGGTCATTAAAGACAATAAAACACAGAAAATTTAAATATTTTGGTCACTTGAAACGACACAAAAGTTTAGAGAGAACAATAATGGAGGGGTATATGCCTGGGAAGAGAGGAAGAGGAAGATCAAAGAGAAGATGGGTGCAGGATGTGGTGGATGATGAAGTTTTCCAGAGGGTTCTTATGGGAGCAAGGGTCTGCAAAGGGCATGCTACTGACTGACTGCATAGTTATTAATTTCCTATTATTCCAAAACAATTTCTTTATTTGTTATCAGTATTCAAAATTTGATGTTAAGAACTGAATCAGTGTTCATTATAATTGTGGGTGAGTACATGTGTGTTCATGTGGACATGCATGTGCATGTGTGTGCTTGTTTGTAAATGTGCATGTGCATGATAGTGCATTGATATATATATGTGTGTGTGTGTGTGTGTGTGTGTATATATATTTATATGCATGTTGAGTCTCATCTACAGTTGAAATTTAAATCTTCAGATGTATATTGACAAAGAAAAAGAGCATTATATTAACATCACATTGTGTACAATTAGAGTGAGAATGTACATGGTAATGGCATTTAGATAAGAGCAGGCCAGCATGTGTTTGTATTGAACATGGACAGCATGCTTCAGAATTTAAAAGCTTGTATGCTATGCATAGAGAAGCTTGGATTTTGCAGTATGTGTGTATCCACTTCATCACCACTGTGTAAATTATTAGCATTTTATATAAAAGTAAAAGTAAAAAGTTAAGGTTCCTTTTCCACTCCTTTAGGCGTATACGGCAAAAAGGGCTAGACCTATATTTTTATAGACTAATCGGCACAAGATGGGTGATGTGGTCAGCATCACGCCGGCCGCCTTTACTTCCCGGGAATGCACCACCATTTTATATACATGTTAGAAGTGGGTACTGTCATCCACCAAGAAAAGGCATCTGTTTTGTGATGGTCCCTAGACAACTCTAGACTGTTAGAGCTGATGTCCTAGGTCTCATGACAGATGATAGAAACGTCAATAGAAAGAGCAGAATTAAGTATCTGGGAATCACATTTGACAAGAGCCTGTCCTTCAGATCCTTGATTTGAATGTTGAATGTTAAATAAAAAATCAACATCACAACACTCGGGACACCCCTATAAGCGCTGTTTCCCCATTTTCAGCAGCAAGTAAAGAGTTCCAATTTTGATGGCACCAGTAACTGTGTGATTGTATATTCATCTGGTCTTTCCCTTGAGTGTTGTCAAAATTGGTAACTCCTCGCAGCGCTGTTCTCCTCGGACTGTAATGATCTGTCCGTGCCTTCGCACTGTTCACTCACTCCCAAAGGGCCCTCGCAACATCTAGCTTGTCATACATCAGTTCACCACCTAGTGGTGCAGTACCCGCGGGGAAGTTTTTTCATTTGTATTCGAACCCCCAGTTTTACTGCCATTGGATGTTTCTTGGCTTGGCTTTGCTACATCTATGCCTGTCGGCACCTTTCTCAACATGCTCTGTGAATCATTACTATTAGGACATTATGTACAGCTGATTCTCAATCTAGCAGTAGGCAGCAGTGACTACCTTCACCTCCATTCTCAAACTAGACGTTGTGATATCATATGCCGGGCTTTGTGGACTAAGCGATGTCTATTGTTTTTGCGATGAACCTCCATTCAATTTGTGTGCCTCTCAACACAGAACCATCTATATAGATAATCACATCACCTGGGCAGAATTGTAGAGATCCTTGGTTTGCCGACTGTTGCAAGTAGGCTGAAGGTACTGCAGGGAAAGTCATACTCATAGTAGTTTCAGACACAGATTACCCTTTGCACAAAACAGTGGATGCAGTTAAGGGTTTGCAGCCTTTGTGATAAGAGGGAAGTCATGGATGGCTGAGGTGGAGGACACAATTAGACAGGTTTGCATCCTGGAGAGCATTAGGTGAGGAGAGGAGTGGGTCAGGGAGCCAGTGAAATGGTCAGATCTGTGTAGAGTCATAATCACATTGAGCCGGAAGTGCAGGCAGTGGCTAGCAGGTGCCGTGGAGGTGGAAATTCAGCAGTAAATTCAGGATAATGCTCGCTCAGGTGGTGTGATTATTTATACTGATGGTTCTGTGTAAAGAAGTAAAAGAAATGCCTGGGGGTTCTTAGCAAAAGCTAATGGTTGACGTTTGGTGCCTAGAATATGATACACAACATCCAGCCTAAAAATGGAGGTGAAAGTAGCCACTGCAGCTTTCCGCTGGTTAGAGAACACCTTACACACACACATACACGCACGCACACACGCACACACGCATGCATGCACGCACGCACACAGACACACACGATTGTAACTGACTCAGAAAGCATACTGAGGATGGTGAGGACAAGCATGCTTCATGCAGAGTGGCTTGCTTCGCTTCAGAGGTCAAGGGTGAAGAGCATTGCCTGGATCTTTTCTCCGGTGTGTTGGAAAATGAACAGGCAGACAGACTGGCCGGCTCTGTACAACTTGGTGGAAAACTGATGCATGATAAGGCAGACGTGGTTAAGGCCTTACATGCACAATTTGGAACAGCAAGTTTATCATCACAGTCTAGTGAGAGTGATCCAGCAAGGAGGGAGGAGGAGATCTGGCCGTACTCGACGCTCAGAGGAAAGGCAAGACGGGCATGTAATAAGACTGCTACTGGCACCATTGGTATTGGAACTCTGCTTTGGTTGCTGAAGATGGGGACGGAACACATATGGGAATGCCCAAGTGCTGTGATGTATTGGTTTTTGTATTGACTCAACTCAGCTTAACTCATGCATGTTAGAAATTATTTCATTTAATTAAATTCAGGATGCTTGTGAGATTTGCAGTGCTGAATTATCCAGATGTATGTGGTCTCTTAAAGCTATATCTCTGTAATTGTTTTTGTTTTTCCTGCCAACATTTGCCCTGTCTCATTGATTCTATATTAATTTCCTATACATGATTATAACATGACTGCTGATCTGAAGTCATGCCTACAGATTAACTTGTCAAGATTTGGTTTCCAGCTAGATGCAAAGGACTTTTTCAGTGTCCTACAGCTTATTATTTTTTAAATTGTTTCTCTGCACTTCTTTCCTGTGGCCGCACCTCCTTCCTCCCCCCACCCCTTTAAGTATTTACCTTGTCTGATTGATTCCATGT